AAACGTTTATAAAAAAAAAGTAAAATTGACCCATGCCTAATAAGACAATTGACTCTTGTAAGATTTTATTAGGCAACAAATCATTGGAAGATTTTACGATACAATATTTATACATAGTTGTAAACCCGATAAAATTTACCCATTAACAGAACTCCCTATTAACATAAATTATCCTAAATATTTTAACACTTATTTGTCGATAGACGATAGGCTAAAAAAGGTTTGGCTTCTTCTTCTTTGTTTCTTTTCGTCAGTTTGATAAGTTGTTGTTCATGAGATTGGGTGAGTTTTATCGAGACGACTTTAGTTTTATGGAGCGTAAATCTCTTGACCTTCAACTTGAGATCTATCTTGATAATGAGCAAAGAGATGAAAGGTTTACAAATTTAAAGAGTCTTGGTGATCTCACTCGTGTGATGGTGGAGACAAGAACAAATCTTTCACATCCTTTGGTATATTGGCTTCTGAAGCTATTTTTGATTATTTATATTGCGACTACAATCGTCGAAAGATGTTTTTCTGCAATGACTTTTGTGAAGACGACCTTGCGTAACCGTATTGGTGATGTATTTTTAAGTGATTGTCTAGTTTGTTTTATCGAAAACTAAGTACTTGATACTATTACAAATGAATCAGTGATAAAACGATTCCAAAAAATGAGTAGATATTTAAATATTACAGACGATTCACTGTGCACTTGCAGTAGTCACTAGTCGTGTGGTCTCTAACAGAAATCTTTGAACCGAAATAAAACACGCATCAGTTGGCATAAAATGCTCGCCTCTAATAGAAACACAGGTACAATATCTATATTTTTTTTTGGAATAAATGTTAAATTTATTCAACCAAAAGGTCTACAATGAATGTGACCTTATGCTAAATAGTTTAAACAAATGATTTAAGTGAACCAAAGAGGTAAAACTCTTAATCCATCCTCAACGTGTCCAGAGCCAGAGCTGAGCTAGGGATGCCACTGCACACTCAGACTATGGCTTCTTGACGCTTCTCCTTCAAGACGACGTCGAAGGCCTTCAAATTCTATACCGTGACGAGTGGGTCACCGTTGATCATCTGTAAGTCTATATTAATTTCCATATTTTTAAAACGTTTTCTTCTATCTTTTCTTGTTAACCAAATTACTTTATTTATGTAATAAATTTAAATTTAAGTACTTCTGTTTTTTATATATTAAATTTGAGGGATAGAAATAGATAACGAAGATTCCAACTATATTGTTAAATCCTTAATTTTTAAAAAAACTTATAAAGCAAAGCATTTCTCATAATAGGTTTATCTTTGATGTTCATTGTGTGACATTTAGATTACATGCATTGGGGCATATACCACACACATTCACCTAAATTCATGGTTAAATCCTAACCATTAGTGAAACTTCTAATTTAGTCTACAACCAATTACACACAAATTGTCGGATTTAAGAAAAAAACTTATAATAATTTAATAAATTTTAACACTATTCATAATAGCCTACAAGGATTAGATTATTATCTTCAAAATTCTTAAAATTTTATAAAATCGCCGAGAAATTTGTGATGTTTTAAAGATGTACCAAACTACCGAAAACAATACTTATCTACATGGAACTAAATTCACATCTTTTTTATTTAATTACGACTTTTACATGTTTATGTTAATTTTATTTGAGCGTGAATGCGAGCTATGAACTAATCATAACTGATTTTATTTGTTCCTTGTGGTCTTGTGCCTTCTTTTGTTTATTGTTTGGGCTTGCTTTGGTCTTCTGGCATTCTCCTTGCCTGTTGGGCCTGCGTGCCTGGATGTGGGCTTTCGCCTTGTATGTTTGGGCCTACGTGCCTTTCGTCGGCTTTTGCCTTGTATGTTTGGGCCTGCGTGCCTTTGTCGGTCTTTTGGCCTTGTAATTGCTCTTTCGGTTTTTTAATGGAAATTTAAAGTAAAAAAAAAAACTAATCATAATCATTTCATTAAGGTCCTGCGTGCTAAAGTTCATTTTTGTCTATTATGTAGATGTTGGTGAAAGGACTTTCCTAAAATTAGGTAAAATCCATCAATATTTTCTATAATCAAGAGCCATCAAAATAAATTCTAATTAACACAATAAAAATATTTTAGTAATCTAAGAGTGTAACTATGAAAACTGCGGTTTCATAAACTCTTAAACAATTTTTTGTATTCCAATCAGATGTATCTTTCAATTTTTATAAGCCACATTTACTCTTCTTATATTTCTGAATTAATTATATTAGTAAGTTATGTTGCATTATCAATTATACTATAGTTGTATACACATTTGATAAATGAATATTTGTGTATATTACATATATATCATACATGGTGTAAATATTCATAGATTGTCTAAGCAATTTGCATAAAAGATGCTCAACATCAACTTAAAATATATATATTTTTCTGAGTCAATGTAAAATTTATTCAAAAGAGTCCTTTTTTACAAAAAAAAAAAAACTTTAAATAAACTTACTTAAAACATATCTTAAATATGCAAAAAGAAACAACTATAGACATGTATGTTTTGGAAAAGAGAACACTTACATAAGGACTCTAACTCTCCATGCACATCCAAGCCACACTTGCGCTTCCCTTTATCTTACAATTCACAAAGGCAAATCTCATTCAATCTGTTAATGTTTCCTTTCTATTTGTATAATACACCTAGTTGTATTTTCCTTTGCTATGAAATGAATTTTACAATCGTGTAAAAAAAATGGTTTGGAATTTGTTTATTTACATGTAAAAAAGTTTATATGCGAAGACATTAATAACGACAATGTTGTATTTTTTTTGTTACTTCGTAAAGCGATTTCCCGGTACCTATTATGAAATCGATCGTCCTTTGATGAAACACTCTTTGAACAAATGTCATCCTTCTTGGTCCAAAAGTGTGTCTTGGTTCTCATATAACCCACATCCATAGAAGGCGGCATTGTCTCATACAACTTTTAAAGCCACTGCTTGTGCACCGATTGCTCCAGGGTTTGGTGCAAGAGACATGTTCTTATACCAAACAAATGATGAACAAGAAATGTTAAGTTAAGTACTAGGTTCATATAATACTAACTATCTACAAAGGACGGAAAAATTCAATTAGATATTTGTATATATATATATATATTTGTAGTGAGTTTATCTTGACTATTTAACATTTTATGATATATACATATTTAGTGATTTCCTCTTAATTAAAATTTTATAGAAGTCAATTTTCTTTTGTAATGAGGTCAATTTATAATATCTATCAAAATCGAATTAGTTTAAAACATCTATGGATGTCAATTGACTCTACGGTAGAATACAGCCTTTGTCACTCCATTTGGTGTAAATGTTCATAACTTACCTAAAAAACATAACTTATCTACAAAACAGCACAAAAAATGCTTACCATTTGCTCAAAACTTAACTATATATTCACCCAAAAAATGCTTGTACTTGCTTGAATCAGGGACAACATTGATAGCACTCTAAGTACTGCTAAAGATATCTATGGATGACAACACTCTAAACACTGCTAGGGGCATGAGCATATAGAGATGATATGGTTGAGAAGAGAGTAAGTGTGATGGTGAAGATAATTTTGACAGACATTAAACGAGTTTTTGAGTTTCTGAGATGTTTCAAGATTCAAAGCTTATCAAAATCTTTAGCACGGGTGAAGAATGGTTTGAGAAAAAAAGTTAGGTGCAGAAAGTTTAGTAAACTTCGCTTAGTGACATGCATTATTCCAAATATATATGATGTTTTAGGCTTTTTCATTTGTTTCAATATATGAGTTTAATAGTTTTTAATTATTTAAATTATGTCATTGGTTGAATTTTTATAAAAGGGAAAACATTTATTGTTTTTAGTCTTTGTGCTATTAGATAGATGTGCTAACCCAACAAAATTATTTCTCTTCAAATTTCCATTACTAAAATCAATACAAACATAATTATGGCATCTTGTGGTTTGTATTACAATCCTACTAATATATAATTTTATTCCACTCAATTTTGTTTTCACAATAAAATTGGTGGAACAATTGAATAAATAGAAAACACACACACAAATTGAAAGAAACAATCTTGATATATAATCCATAGAAAAATATTGGCAGAAACGTAAGCTTTGTGTTCTCTAAAATGTAACAAATGTGATCCAAAAATGTAAACAAAAAATTACACAAGTCTCTGTTGGAAGAACTGATTTAAAACCTAAACACTTCACTCTTTAATCCATCTTTCACCAAATCCATGACTTGCTTTACCTCAACGCAAAGGATTAACATACTATTCATCTTTAAGTTACTATACTTTAGGATAATATAGACCTATTCAACCTTCCTTGGCCTTTTGTGTATTATGTACAGCATTTTGCTAGCCCCATAATTTTCCTTTCAAGATTTAAATGGAAAGAGAACCAGCCATCAGCTATAAACCAATTTGTTCTTTGTTTAACAGTACTAATTATCAAATCGAAACAAAATAATTGCTATCACATAAAGTTCTAACTCTATATTTCGAAATGCAGAGGCACTTACATGAAAAATAGCCAATGCCTGAGAGAGACAGTAAGATTTGGCTTTCAGGTGAAGTAACTTTGCGGCTGATATCAGTCTCCATCTGATGTCAAGATCACTGATGGAATCTACATCATTTCTCTCTTGCTTCGTCGGTATTATTCCGAAACAAGAATCTTAGAAGCTTCTCCGCCCCACCAAGAAGTAACTTTTGTCATGTGAATTTGATCCTCGTAGTCCATGGAGCAAAACCAATTTCCTTTAGGTAATTCCTGCCAGAAAATCATATTACTATTGGCCAGACATAACTAGAAAACGCAGCTACCACATCAAAACCTGTGCTTTTAAGACCCTATCATATTTCCCGAAGATTGCCTCAAAACATGCACCGATACAAAAAGGAGAAGCAGTCTTTCGGTCGGTGCAACACCGCCTCCTATGTAAATGCTCATTGATGGATCTCAAACTTGGTAGTAGTTTCCTTTTAGTCAAATCTCACAAGTATCTATTCCGTTTGGTCAATACAAGAACAAACCCATAAAAATGGGCTTTACGCTTATGTGTGGACTGCGGAGTTTAGGCGTTCAAATGTATAACCACCAGTACTTTCAGTTACTGACATTTTCAAAAGAGTTTACAAACAAACAAGAGTATGAGGTTTTGACAATGCAAGTGTGTGTGGTATACTCTATACATTAGTCTATGCATATCGATGTTACAATTTCAGGGGCTTCGTGTTGATAAAAAGAACAGTGAGGTTTCTAAGTCTTGTTGAATTTAAGCATCTCTTGGCTTTGGGTTGAGCTCTGTCTCCATACTTGTAGTAGGTAACTTTGGGGTCGAATTACCGGCGCCAAATTTGCGGACGAGGATTTTGAAACATGGCAGCAACACAACATATAACGTAATAAAGAAAAATGGAGTTGCTACGAGCCACCCTAGTAACTGCAATAACCATAGAAGTTAAATCAAAGACTTATCTTTGAGGTATGAGAACATTGGCAATTTACGAGCTAAAAATCAGACTAGCAAGAATAATATCAGGCTAGGAAATGCAACAAGCTGTTCAGCATTTTCCACCAGTACGCTAAAAGAAAAAGACTCATTGTAGCTACTTACCGCATTACCAATGCTTAAAAAGACTTCCTGAGAGGCTTGACCAGTGAAAACCTTCTTTAGAGCATCTGATGTCAAAGGAAAATGAGGTCCACCAGTGACTTTTTCACCAAGTCTTAGGAAAGGCACCACGAGACTTCAATAAGAAAGACATGAAAAGGAAAACCAAAATCCAATTCAGGAACAAAACTGATATGCATAGTTTTTTTTTGATAAAAGTGGTAAATTTCAAAAGATTAAAAGGATATGAGGTTTACGCTAGTTCTACAGGAGTGGCAATGATATTAGCCAACATCACAGTTGGAGCATGACAAGCAGACCCCAGCAACGCAAAAGCTACTCCACATAGAAACACAGGAACACCTATTTCATAGCAAAAATGACCCCCAAATAAGATACATTGCAATCTCAAATCAAAAATCAGTAAACTTAGGAAACAAAAGAATGGCGAGAGACACGCACCACATATAGGAAATATCCCCAAAGTAATACCCAGTGCGGCAGAGAAAGCAAGCTGCTTTGGCTCAGTACCTCTACGATAATCGAAAAAACGAAGACAAAATCAAACTCAAATCACTCTACAACATCAACATTTCTTCAACAGAGACAGAGATGCTGATACATCTATCTCTAACAGATGCCCAAAAGATCCAGTAGGAGCTACATGAAACTACAATGACAAAGCTTCTGCCTTTAACTGTTCTAAATGGTCTCTCTCTTGTGTTCCAATAACAAAGAAAGAGATGTTCTCAAGATCCTTTAGAAGATACAAGAAAAAAGACTCTACCTTTAACTATTCTATATAGTCTCTCTCTATGTTCAAAATTTAGAAAAACCAATAAGAAGCAAAAATGCATAAGTCCAGTTTCTAAGACCAACAAAATAGCACATAAGATCTATCTGATTCCTTATCAAGAAGCAGAATATGAGTAACCAAACTAGTCCTAATTCTAGATCCATGTAAAGAGAGACAAAGAAGACAAACCTACGCAAGATCTGGAGAAGAGGGTCAGTGATTTTCTTATTGAACCATGCTTTTAATCTACCTTTTGATAAACCCATCATCACGATTCTACAAAATCTTCACCAAATTTTCCCAGAAAGTTTACAGATTTCTACAAATGAACGTTGATCGGGTTTTTGCGCGTCTCTTCACGGAACCAGTTGAAGATGGGTATTTCCAGAAACGGGTTCAGGTAATCGGGTCAATTGATTTTTGAAATCAGGCCCAAACCCAATCATTTAAGATCCGAAAGCGGGTCGATCCGACTAGGCCTGGGAAATGGGAATCCAAAAAAACCGGCTTGAACCAACCCGTAAAACCCGGTTCAGTTTGGTTTCGATTAGCTTACCGAATTGATCTTAAATAGATATCTTTCGGGTTTCAGTTTGATTCGGATTGGATCCAAAACCTCAACTGATACCCGTAAAACTCAAAACAATATGTACACATGATATAATTTTATGTGTTTGCTCCTGGATTTGAAAACTGGACCTGAGAAACACGATCCGAATTGTCCAAAATGAAATGTTACGTTTCATCTATGTGTTGCAACTTCGAAATTTGAATTGTTTGGTTTTGTAACTTTTTATCGGAGTTATTGGATAATTCCGAGTTGTCAAACCGAAGCAAAATATGTTTTGGTTATATGTCCGAGTTTAATTAAATATTGTGAACCGACCTAAATCCAATAAAATTATAACCGAACCGAACCAAACCAAGAACCTCTTTACCTGAATTACCCGAAATCCAGAAAAACAGACTTGAATCGACCCGAAAACCCGAATGGTCAGACCAAGATCCAACATCAATAACTTCTCTCCTCCCCACAAATCACCCTTTTGGTTTCTCTTTAACCTCCGAATTTTCTCGCCGTCGCCGGTCAAATTTCAAGCCCTAGCACCGTCGTGGATTAAAGGATTCAACATGCTTGTCGGTGAGAATTGTGTTCACGAGACATACTACGAGATTCTCTCGGTGAAAGAAGATTCAAGCTACGAAGAAATCCGCAATAGCTACCGTTCTGCGATTCTCCACTCTCATCCAGATAAGCTTAACAACACTTCTCATCGTAGCTCCGACGATGAAAAGTTTCTGAAGATTCAAAAAGCTTGGGAAGTTTTAAGCGATGCAGAGCTACGTGTAGTTTACGATAATGATCTTAGATCTTCAAGACATGATGGAATCACTGCTGATGAGATTAGTATTGAGGATATGTCAGTGGAGATTAGTGGTGAAGTTATTGATCTTTTTTATCAGTGTAGGTGTGGTGATTATTTTTGTGTTGATTCTAGTGAGTTAGGAACAATGGGGTTTGCTTTGTTGAGAGATGGTGATTTTGTTCATGTTAGGAGATTGGGTACTTTTGTGGCGTCTGTTGTTCTTCCTTGTGGTTCTTGTTCTTTGAAAACACGGGTTTGGGTTGATTCGGATATGAAGATTTCTTTTCAAGAAGATGTGTTGTGAGCAATGTGGTGATCTGGGTTGGTTTAGAGTTGAGGAATCTCTGTTCAAGGTGGTTTCTTTAGGCTGAAGTGATCGTCATGGTCAGGTTCGGACAGGAGGAGTTCTGCTTGAGGATGGTTGTTTATGACTGTGTGGATAGATTCATTTAAGAAAAGTATGGATGGAGATGATTTCTTTGACCAAAGTGATCTTTGTTGGTTCAGATTTAAGAAATTCTCATGAAAGCTTTTTCTGTTGTGATTTTTGTACTCATTTGTTATATTTATTGAAGAACTTTTAGTTCTATAAGGAACTTGGATTATAATGGGAAACAAAAGGGCCCTTTGGTTTTGCTGCTCGTTCTTTCTTCGGTAGTTTCAATTCTGTCTCCTTTTGAATTTGCTGGAAGCTGAATATTCACTTGACATTTGTGTTGTTGTTTTTTTTTTTTTTTGCGTTCTTACTTCTTGCAAATATCTGATTCATTGCGCCTCTGTTTGCGAAAAAGAACCGGACCGAGAAGAAGTGATGTTGGTTTACTTGCAGTAGTACTCAAGACTTATGCGTTCTCAAAAGAATGGTAATACCTTATTCGCCGCCATAATTTTCCATTTTCTACTGAATTTATTTTACTGTGGTAATGTTTTGCCTTATATGATATTTATGATGAAATCGATTGAGGTTACATGTAGAGGACCAAGTGGTAATGAATAATGATTTCTGTAGGCACAGATACAGATTACTGCAATCCCGACCTTGTTGAAAGACCTAGATCAGGGTTAATTTTCTGTCATAATTTTGTATTAGTTTTGTTATTGGCACGTATGATTAAAAAGCCTTGGTAGCTGAGGTGTCTCCTTGTGTTTTGGTATTATCTTGTGCTGATTGAGCATATTTTGGAATCCACATGTTGCAAACAATTGATTGTAAATTTGGATTTCAGGCTCAATTTGATTTCCAATCTTATTTCCAATCTTGTGGCAGGAAATGTTTTACACTGCAAAATATGGGTGTGACGAGGAACACATTGTTGGTCTATGGTAGGCTAAGGGAGGGGCGATAGATCCTTCAGGTACCAATCTTTCTAAGTGTGAACGTCTAAAGAGCTAAGAAGCAGCTGTGCATACTTGTTTGATTGGATCTGTAGTTCTGTACTAAGCAAAGTTAATACTCAACTCTTTTATTGCGGTATACAATATATGAGTGTGTAGTCTTGTTATTTATCACTGTTTACCAACCCATTGAAGTATATGATCTGAGATAATAAGCTGAAATAGAAAATAATTACTTGATCCCATAGGCCTCCAAAGTGGACAGAATTTCCTGAGGTCCACCATTCTCTTTCACATAGGAAATGTTAGGGCTCTCTTGTGGAACTGCGTCTTCTCTTTTGAAGTTTTCTTCACTGCGAAGAAGCTTCTCACTGTCAGATCCCACTACACCTTTTAGAATGATGGTTTTATGGAGGCCACCCAGTAAGTCCTCATAGTCCGTGTCTCCCTTTTCTCCCAAAAAGAAAACAGTCTTCGACATGTCAATTCCCCACCTTATAGAAAGATACCTACATAAAGCCATCAAGTCGTGTCATTTTCACTGTAGATATCTTACACATAGCGTATATGATTGAAGAAACTATTTTGTCTTGACAGTGTCTAACCTGAGTCCTTGTATTCTTGATGCACATAGCGGTATAACATTTAGCCTTGTTGCTGCATGCGTATAGACAATGTTGCACCTTAAACCTCGCATACGAAGCCTCTGCCTAAGGTCATCAACTCTTCGAGTCTGCCATTCACACATATATACATCAATAGTAGTTTCACACATATATTCATGATTTAAGCTTTCCTCTTGATGAGAAAGATATTCTTTGAAAGAGCTACCTTGACTCCTTGTTTCACAGAAATTGCATAGCATCTTGTACTGCATGCACTAGCATACTCTGTGATGTCATCCTCAGTTGCAGGTTCCGTACATGCAAGTCGCAGAATAACCGACCTTATACTTTCACCAGGCCATTTGTATTCCACATGAGTTTCATAGTCTGCATCAACCATCATATCTCTCCATGGATAGTAGATTTCACTTCCGCTGTTGCAAACTATTGCATCAAAATCTTCCAAATTAATCAGGTTTTTCTGCGTGATCTCCACAACTTCTTGTAAGCTTGAACCTGATGCCAGCACAAAACCTATTTTCCCTTTGCCCGATGTCAAATCTGCAGCTTTCATCACATCCTTGATGATATCGTCCAAATTCGCTTTGATGTTTCCGTTGTCATCATATGAATCAACAGCAACCACAAAGAGCATCTGCCTTCTACCAGGGCTGTAGATAACAGATGGGCGACCTTTCATAGAATTCATTTGACTTATGGCATCAACTAGTTTCCTCTGTCTAGTACCTGCATCTAGTTCCCCGTTGAGCGTGAAATCTCCTTCTGTGGAGAATCTCAAAGATATGTCATCGACATCCATTAGAGAATCACTTGTGAGCTCTTCTGGAACTTTCATGATGTCGAGACTACTGGTGGGGTGACGGTTTCTGCAGTGTTCGACATGGGATAGATAGTTACGGCAGTGCTCTGGCCATGAAAAACGGTGAATGTTCTTGAGTCCGTTTTTTCTACACTCAGCCCAGAGATGTTTGTTAGCAACTAGCTTTAGAAGGGCATCAGAAATAGCTTGTTGATCATGGGGGTCGACTAGGAGACCATTATTTAGTGCCTGCAACACAACATATGCACTGTTAAATAAGCTTACTGGGATCAGTGAGGTGTGACTATGTCTTTATACAATTAGCTTTGTTTACCTTCACGATATCAACAGGCCCTCCATTTCTGGTCGCAACAATGGGCAGACCATAAGCAGCTGCCTGTCATACACACAATAAATAGTTTGGCATGAAGATCTGGTTGTGTATAATAAGTAGACAAGCACACTGACATAGTTGCTAGTTACCTCAATGAGCGTGAGACCAAACGGCTCCACAAGAGCTGGATTAATGAAGACCCCCTTCAAGAGAGAAAACCACCTTATAATTACGGTGTTCATGTTGCAAAGAGGGAGGGCTAAGAGTTCTGGTAAACTACTAACGATAACATATTTTTGTATCCATGTAGACTGAAACTCAGGAGAAACTACCAAAGGTCTACTACGCACATGGGAACTAGTAATTGGATGTTGCATTATAAAAATCTAGGATTTATGTTCTACTGGAATCAAGGAAGTAGTAAACAGTGTGCGTCATATTGTTTAATAGGATTTTCCTGTTAAGTGTTAAGTACCTTTGTTTTGGCTGCTAAACGATAAATATCTGGAACTTCAGATTGTTTGTGATGCTTGGGGTAAGCTACTTGGCCGTACAAGTCGTACTGGTCTATCAGCTTTAGTACGTTCATGAGAACAACTGAGCTGCTATTAGGCATCTCTTCGATGTCATCTCTGTTACCTAGTATAAGTACCTGGAACAGTTTTATGAGCAATTTAGTTGGATTAGTAGTATGCTCATTCACAATCTTCATATACATATGTGAGGTCACTGGATAACACATGTGTAAGAAATGCTGAGATACTTACCAGGTTGGCTAGTTCTCGAAGAGGCTGACATTCACCAAAAGCTTTGACCAATGTGGTGACATTTTTCTTGTGGTCAGGACGAGACAGCGCAAGTATTGTTGGTTTATGAGGATTTGAGAAAAATCGCATTATCTGCAGGTAATAGGTTCATGTAAGTATTTGCTCCATGGATCGAAAGACAGGGAAAAACGAGAATGTAACCTTTCTTGCATGAAATTGGATATGACTTCTGTTGGTAATAACACAATAATGAAAGAAGAGTACCTCAGACCATATTGGAGGCACAGGCTTTTTTATCTGGTTTCGGTCAGGGCCAATTAGTGACTTAAGATCACCATCAGGCACCTGTGAATCCTGTGTCAAGACGTAGCTGAAATCCATGCCTGGCGGTATAACCTGATGCCACCAAGACAGGTCAGATTGGTGAATGATTCTACTTTCACTTCAGTTTGCTGTTTCAGTTAGCTGGCACCAGTTACTGCAGTGTCTACTTGATTATAATTATTTTGATACTAATCGTGTTATCATTTGTCAGATGCTATGGGAGGCGGAAAAAGACTTATACCACCATTCGTGGCATGTATCGGCCAAGGCAGCTGACTCCACGCCGTCGTCTAACCCTGAGCTTCCTCTCCAGCTTGATATCAAAACCATCATACAGCCCCCACTGCGCCTCAATCTCTTGTCGTGTGCTTGTCACCACCATCTCGGCTGCATCAAGGCTCTGTTCTTCAGCCTCTATCCTCCTCATGATCTTATATGTTCTGTCAATATCCTCTCTGGTAATTCTCCCTTGTTGAAGCAACTGCTCAAACTTATTCCTTCCCAAAGAATGACCAGTTAGCACCATTGGCACATTTAACGCTCCTGCCAAATGTGCAGCTACTTCTCCTGCATCAGCATAGTGGCCATGAATTACATAAGGCCAGATTGGTTTCCCTCCATTCACTTGCTCTCCCAGAGACCTTGCTATGCTCACTATGTGATTTAGCGCCCCATCAACAAACTCGGGAATATGGGGCCAGAGTGACTCCTTTGGTATGTACCTGCATTTAAAAAACGTAAGTATAGAAAAACTAGCTGTTTTTTTCAAAGCAGGAATTTGAATACATAAATTCCAAGGAGTCTTATGTGTTAGTACTTGTCCCGAGAACCGCAGGGGATGCGGATAATGTAGGAGCCACAGCTATCGCTACCTTCTGGAGGGCATGATAACATCTCAACTGGCTCACCGTAGCTGTAGTCAACCTCTGGTGAACTGATCTGCCGCGTTAAGAGATCGACCCTGTGGACACCTTCAGTGTTGGCCAAGGCACGAGCAAGCTCAACAACATATTTCACCTATTCGTCCATTGACAAGACTCTTCAGAATGAAAATTAAGAAAGCCAGAAGCGACACGTGAAGCACCGTAAATAATTCAATTTTTACTAAGAAGTCTACTAGAAGATGGCTAAATACCTGTCCACCAGTATCAGAGTCTCTTCCAAGCTCCATGTTTTCTCCACGCACGAGTCCATGCATACTGCAGTTGGCCAAGTATGGAACCAAATAGGACCACGGGGTAAGTCCCATGTGACAATAACGAATAAGTCAGATTAACCAATCTCTACTTGCCTGATTAGGACAATATAAAGGTTTCGACTTGATTTATCATCTTCGGACCAAATTTGCATTTCAGAGCGGATACGGGGCATGTGATCTCGGGGTGGTTCGAGAGTTGTAACAACTTCACTCTTCTCCTTCTCTCCGTCATTCTTCTCCTTCTCTCCTTCAGAAAGCTCAGAAAGAAGATCCTCTTCCGCATCATTGCGACCTTGTTCACGTTCAATTCTCCGTTTGGAAAGTCTAATCCCGTCATCCCACACAATCTGTGGAAGGAAATCAAAAGATTCAATTCAAACGAGCGAGAACTAACCTTTTCTGTATTTCCGATGCATAGGCTTTTAAGGGGATGCAGAGGTGAAAAAGTTGAATAACTTAAGGACACAAACCTGCTTTTTCTTGCGTGCGAGATGCCAAATACGCCAGCATATATTCTCAAGCCTGTTACTGCGTTCACGAGTATTCCTTGTTGCTATCACCTGCCACAAGAAATGAAAGATCTCTCCACCATCACTCGCAGGTACTTAAATTTATTTGTAACTGCATTTGTTTTGGTTAATCAAATCATTTTGGGCTTTAAACAATGTTCTAACCATCTCCCACATTCTTTGGTTCTTACTATTTTAACTCCGGTCACTTCCAGACATATGGGAGATTATGTGGAACAATATTCTCTCCGTATCTTTTTGTATTTAAACCATTTGATATACGGATACAGATTGAGAAACAAACCTTAATCCATGTTTTATACAGGTCAGACTCATCGAAACTGTTGACAACCTCTTCAACAAAGTATTTGATGGGACTAAACACCTTCTCTTGATGATGATCCTTGCTATTCATATCTCCAAACACCTTGTCTTGATGATCCTTCCTATTCATATCTCCAAGCTTCTGGACGATCTTGGAGTTACTCTCAAACCTCTTTTTGTTGCTAGTTCCAACATCAAGAATAGCTTCCAGGTAACTATTGATCCAATCATTTCTTGCCATCTCTCTGATTGTTGCACTGAAAACTCCTTTGATCAAAAGTTACATAAACATCTATAAACACAACAATAGAAACAAGGAACAAATTCGAATTTTCGGCATTTTACATACCGAATATCCTTCAGGGTAGAAGAAAGAGGCCTAGTTTGTTATATCAACTTAGCTTTGCCATTTTATAATCTCATACAAAAGGTCCCTCCTTTTTCTCCTTTTTCTTTTTATTTCCTGATATTTAATTTTCAAATTTTGTTTAACTCTGGTGTGGTTCTGGTTCTCTGTATTATCTCTCAGATAGGCATATTACAACGTCATGTAATAACCGTTAAACTCTGGAAAGACAAATATTCTGTCCTAATCTCAAAGAGAATCTTCTTTTTTAGTAAGTTTTTTTTTGCATTATCAAATTCTCTAAAAGAATAAGAATCACCCATTTCCTTTTTCAAGTTTGTCTCTTCTTTTTTCTTTTGTGATAGAGAATAATGAGTGGCACAAGGCCTATTCTCCATTTGTTCCCATTAGACTTGTTTCTATAGCCTCATGTTTTCTTGACTCTCCATCTCTCACTGAACTTCAACGTCTTTGTTCGGAACCAAAACCTCTAAACACTAACCCGGTTAAACCCTGTTTTCGACATTTTTTTTACGGTGACCAAGTTTGTTTCAGTTATGCTTGTAGTTTTCTGTGAATATATGATTGGGATTGAGAAAGATGTGTTCAATAAATGATGTGTATTTGCAGGTAGAGACGTGAAGAAAAGGGATTTAAAGTCGTATAAGTATGTTGTTAGCTCTGTTTGGCATGTGAAGTAATGGAACAGAGCATATTCCATACTTTCACAAATTGGATACCTTTAAGCTACTTCAATCTCGAAAACTAATGTGAATGGTTTCTAAAGTTGAAGAAAGAATCTGAGTAGGAAAATGGTAAAATGTTAACTGAAATAGTATGGACTTGAAAGTCTATATAAATCATGTTGATACATGTTTCTAGAAAAAATGTATGTACATGATCTTTCATAGGGAAAAAAAATCCAAACCCAATATTATAATATAAAGTTGAATATATATTAACAACAAATGTGACAAAAGCATAGATATTTTATTATTATTGTTTTATCTACCCAAAATATGTTGTTTTTCTTTTGTTATAATCTAGCCAAATTTTTTTTTTGGTTTGATATAGAATCTAGCCAATTATTTATCATTTTTCTTTGGTAGTTTCTTTCATTTCTATCAATGAGAGACAATATATGAACACTACACAACATATTGAATATAATATCAACACTACACAATCCCCATAATGAATATGTTAAGGAATATCCAAAAACGGGTAAGGAGCTTTGTGACCGACTCTTTCTACGATTCTAGTTCTTCTTAAGTAAAGCTTTCACACCCATTATTCACATAGTTAGGATAACGTCCACTTGTCCACTGAAAGAGACTCTTAGCATCCATTACGTATTGAGACATCTTCAAAGTATTCTTAAAAATCCAGTAGAGATTTTTCAGATATTTGTTTGGGTAAATCTGATAAATATGCTATTAGATATTTTTATAGTAACAAAACAAATCTCGATTTCTCTATTGTTTACTTCTTCAAACCGACCTTAAATATTCATCGGTGAGGCATTTTGATTCAGAGTACTATATGTAGTGCTCTATAACTCATTAGAAAACTATTGAGAATTTAAATCTAATGGTATCAATCTCTCTTAGTGACTTCCACTAAGCTAGCAATTTTTTTACTATGAAATTTTGGTTCTCAAGTTGAAAATTAAATTCTCTTGAATAAATCTTGAAGAATCGAGACTAAATCTGAATTTAGTTTTGTAGTTTATAGAGGTGCAGGCCGGGGACTCTGCGGTCTGCCAAGTTTGTATAATACTTCATCAATCAAAGAGGACCAAAACAAAGTTTTTGTTTGCCAAAGACACTTTAACTTTCAAATAAAAATGCATCATTTGAGGTTTAGGCACATATTGACGAGAAAGCAATACATGGGTGGAAAAATAGTAAGGGTCGAATTTAAAGAAGGAATCAAATCACAGAGGAACACCTGGCACAAGAACCCTAAACACACAAGTTACAAAGAACAAAAAATCACTTAATTTACCATTTATGGATGACTCCAGTTTTTTGGAGTCACATCTCTCGCCCAAGTTCAGGATGCATTGGGCATTCACTACGAGCTCTTCCAAGGATAATACATGACAAACCCACAAAATCGAATTTAAAACGCAATATAACCCGTTATCATTATCATCGCCAAAATTTTGAAATTATGATAAATAATATATCAAATCGAAATATTCGCAATGACGAGTTTAAATATATGATTGCATATATGCACTTGCATTTATTTGCAGAACTCTTAAAATTTATTAGTGGTAATTACTATAACTAGCTATGATTTGAATAGAATTAGGTATTTGAGTAATTTTTTAACCCCTGAGTGGGACCCAATGAGATAATTACATATGTAATCATAATAAAACATTCTTGAAATAAAACTAAAATTAAATATGAGTAAAAGTCTCATTTATAATTGATTATTAATTTGACTAAAAATAGCATTTTTTTAACCACATATTTTCGACGCAATCAAAAAAACTTTTTAACCACATATTAATTAAAAAATACTATCATCAATTTTTCCAACCACTAACCAATTTTTTCTTGTTTATATTGACACATTCAACTTCAATTTTCTAAAAATCATCGACTCGTACAACACACACTAATCTTTTCTATCTCATTGACTTTCTCTGGTATATATCCTTTCCAATTTTATGTTTTTTTTTTCTAAGAAAAAAAAAAAAAAACTATTATTAGTGTGTATTAAGTGTATTTATCAAGAAAAAACGAAGTTTCTTGCAAGTAAGATATAAAACAATTATTAAAAGTTTTGAATCATGAGAAATGCTACTTCAGTTATACTTTATTGTTTTCTCATCTTCCTCCTTATGAACAATGTGAAAGGTAAATATATTATTCTCATTTAGATTTAACTAAGACCCTATCCAGAAGATACGAAAACATTGATTATACATATCAAAAATTTTGGTATTATAAATAAAAATTTCATTTTTTTTTTGTATTATCAACTAAAATCCTATTTATCTTTAATTGTTTTTAATTGACTGAAAATAGGGCAGGGGAATAAGAAACCACCATGCCCGATTGGACAGTCGGGATACGGAAGATGTGGGCCTGACGGACATAGGTTGTGTTTTAGACAAATTGAACGGAGTGAAACATTTAGTAAAGATGTGATGAAAGCTATTACCCACTGCAAGTGTTTTGACGATCGACGAAACAATGTGGACATGCATTGGTGCGCATGTGATTTGAAACATGGCCCTCCTTGCTAAGTTTGAAGTTATAAGATATTTTTGTGTTGATATGGCACACGTATATGTCCATCTATTTTAAATATACATATTTTCTTTTATCCTACAATAAATTAATTCATATTCAACATGTAGTTTGTGTATTTTAATAAATTTTTGGAGTTCATATGAGGTATTGTTTGAGGATAAAAAATAAATCTGATGAATTTTATCATTTCATTTTTCACCTAAACATTCATCGATGTGAGATTTTGATTCGGAGTACCATATGTAGTGTTCTTTTATTTTTATTTTGTGCAAAGATACTTGTATTTCATTCAATCAATCCCAAAAAGGGCAAAGTTTACAAGATCTACAACCTTAACGTTGGATACAATAACTTCAAAGGAATAAAAGCTTATAACATAGATATAAAGAGAGATTTGATAAGCCATAGAGAATCGGAGACCGAAGCAATCAAGCAACATGCCACAAACGAACTCATGGTGTGTCAAAGACACTTCCGCGAACAATCCGGGGAATTTAGTAATAGTCACTGTCGAGAGATCTTGTGACGTTGAGAAAGTCTCATTTGTCTCTTGGATCGTCGGCACGAAGCACAACGACGAGGCCGGAGCATGATTGCTCAAGTAATTACCCGATACACTTAACCGCAAGGTAGTATATACGGGGTCGATCCACAAGAACCAATGGTACACTAAAGACTTCCGAGACTCGTTCTTAGCTAAAGCGGAAAGGTTGTTTGTTTGGTTTTCAGATTGTAAAATAAAAATGCTAATAAATAAAAAGATTGAACTTCAAGATTTAAAGACATTGGGCATTAGGGTATTTCAGAGATCAATAAACAAAGGAAACATGAAACAAGGAATTCAACAATTAAGAACCGTTCTTGAACATGAACACATTTAGACCAATTCTCTTTCAAGACATTAATCACTAAATTTGACTATTCGATTACTAAACTTTCGCATGCAATTTCCTAATCAAATTCGCATTACCAAACAAGTTCATTAAGTTCACAATGCGTCCTAACGTCAACTTTCGTTGGCTAGAAATACATTGCTCAATTCACATTCTTTCAGGCATTCTATCGAACACTTTTGATGCATAGAAAAACCTAGAATCTACAACAGGGTGATCAATCCTATTCTAGCATTAAGAACATGTGAATCAAAGAACCTAGAGAATAAGAATTCCTAATACAGTTAATCCATTAATCCATTGAATCTCCTAATTAGAACCCTAAAACCCAATTGGAGAACTACTCACTCATAGCAAAAGGAATAACACAAAGAGATAAAGAAGACATAATTGAATTGCAATGAATATAAAAGATAAGGGATTAGAAATCTTCTCCAAAGTGTCAAAGAGGATGAATCTCCAATCCCAATAGTAGCTTACAGAAGAAAAGTCTCAAAAAGTTGCAGAGAAAGAAGCGTGAAAAGAAAATTAGGTTTCTGGGGTTTTTATACCCAAGTACAGAAAATAGAAGATAAATCCGGTTAAGAAAAACCAAAACCGGGCGTCAGGAAATCAGACCGATCGGTCCAGAGGAGGACCGATCGGTCCAACCAAATCTGCTCTCCGTCGAAGCTCCGGACCGATCGGTCTAGGTGTGGACCGATCGGTCCAACCCTCTCTGTCCCGACGTCGAAGCTCTGGACCGATCGGTCTAGTGGAGGACCGATCGGTCCAACCGGCTCTGGTCCACGTTTTCAGCTTTGGACCGATCGGTCTAGTTGGCATCTGATCGGTCTAGTTTGTGACTGGTCGGTCTAACTGGCTGTGTCTGCAAAATCAACTTCTCTCTCCTGTTTTGACCCGAACAAGTCCAAAAATGCACGAAAATCTCCAAATCCCGCTCAAACACCTATGACCTGTAAAAGACTCAAGACAAGACCAAAAAGACGCAAAAGATGGACTAGACATGACTAATGACTCATAACGACACCTAAAACAAAGACTCAAAACCGATAAAAACACAACACATCAACTCCCCCCGACTTAGATCTTTGCTTGTCCTCAAGGAAAACAAAAATCTTTATCAAGAAAAGAGGTTTGAAAACACGAGAACTCACATTTTCTTCGGGATCATGCTCTTATCAATTGCCTGCAAACCACTATCACAAAACTCATCAAACCGTACTAGACTGTACTTCGCCATAACCGTAGCAACAAAATTAAGTCCCGAGATCTAAAAGAACTTTCAGAATCAAACAACTTAACCTTTTAACATTCATTAGCAGAGGCGTGTACTCTCACAAAGGGGGTATCGAACACGTTATGGGCTTGGTGAGAAGGCTAATATTTGGTGGCTCAAAGTGTTTCGGGTCCTCAAACAGTATAAACGGATGCATGTCATTATGCGAAATCACAGTGAGACACAGACCAACTAGGAGGTACATAGCTTCCCTTAAGCTCGGATCAAATCAACCAACACACTATCCCAATCAAATCAATGAATACCCCTGATGCTTAACAATATAACCAAAAATAACTTGACATTTCCGGTTCCAATCACTCTCCTTTCCCGCTCTTTCTTTTTATTTTCGTTTTTTTTTTTTTTTTTTTTTTTTTTTTTTTTTTTTTTTTGGAAAGCGGGAGAGTGGAACCGGTGTCTCACAAAAATCTGCATCAAGAACAATCGCAAACAGCAGCATATACCCATGAATATAACCTCTAAACCACAATGGCTCAATCTCATCACATATCAACAACCAGTAAACTACAACTCACTATCCTAACAAAAGGAAAGCTATGTCGGTCCGTATACTCCGTAGTTTTCGCACATGGATGCATATCATGATGATTATATAAGAATGCATGAGGTTTCAAACAATGGGTGGGGGAACAGGTGTGGTACTAGACTAAAAATGAGTCTAGCCATTCAGAGTTAGCAAAGAGTGGTAAAAAAAAATGATGCAAACAAAACTCTGAATGTATGATCCATTACATGATTCTCAAGCCCCTAAGTGAGATAAATTAAGTCCAGATTAAGTTCAAGTATATAAGATAAAGCTCAATTCATCCGAATTTCAAAGAGATAGGGACTACTATAAAGCGATCTAGTGATGGATTTTCCTGAACTTCCAAGTTATCGAATAAAGCTAAAATGGTCCCAAGGCATTGAAATCAAGCAAGGTGCAATTCCCCAAGAAAAGATCATAGTTCTCAAACAAATTTTGACTCAATAAAAGACACAATTTTTTTTTTTTTTTTTTTTTGACTCGATAAAAACAGACTCAACGAAAGAAACAAAAGAAACAACCAAAGCAAACTCGATTAGTAGAAAAATGACATCCTCCCCCCGACTTGCTTCACACCGACTCGGTGTGAAAACAATTCAAAGAAAAGATGCCATACACACTCAAAAGAAAACAAAGGAAAAATAAATAAATGGTAGGGAAATCCGAAATACCTGGTGGGTTGCCTCCCACAAAGCGCTTGTTTTATGTCACTAGCTTGACCGGATTCTCGTGGACTAATGGGTATGAGTGCGGGAACTTGCTCCGAAACAGGGTCCCCAATCATTTAACTTCAGCTTCAGAACTTTACCAATCACACTTTTCACAGCTTTTCTACCCTTCTCTTTCCATTCAGAAGTGAGAATGCTCCTAGCTTTGGAGAAAGGTTTCGAGGTCCCTTTACACTGCACCTTATACTCAATGGTGTCCCCGACACAACGCAGCGGTATTAAAGCTATATGAGGATCTCCCTTGATCCTTTTCTGCTTCACCATATCCTTAGCAGCAATCTTCTTTATTGGAATGTGAGTGTCTCCATCCAGGACTTCCTTGACCTCACTCCAACCACTGCATTTCTTTACACACTTATCGCTAGATTCGTCATTCGTGTCAATAGAAAATGCCTGACCGTCAATGGTGGGGTTTTTCCTCGTCTCTCTCATATCAAACTCTAAAGAGTAGTCTCCAATTTGCAGGTTGATCTTGCTTCTTCTCACATCAATTATAGCTCCTGCGGTGTTCAAAAATGGCCTACCAAGAATGAGAGGATCTTGTGGTTCCTTGTCAAGCTCCAAGACAGTGAAATCAGTTCGAATATAGAAATTTCCCACTCGAACATGCACGTCTTCCGCCAAGCCCACCGGGTATCGCACAGAGCGATCAGCTAGAATCAAAGAGATCCTTGATGGCTTGAAATCGGTAATGCCTAGACGCTTTGACACAGAAAGAGGCATCAAGTTAACACCAGCTCCCAAATCGCAAAGACACCTCTCAAATATGGACTTCCCAATCCGGCAAGGCAAAACAAAACTTCCTGGATCATCGAGCTTCTCAGGAATAGTGACTGGAAGGATGGCACTGCTAGTGCTGACCATCTCTTTTCCTGCTACCACTTCTACTACATCAGTGAGTTGTACCTTGCCTTGTTGTCCCCGAGACTCCTCCAGCTGAACATACTCTTTACTCTTAGAGATCAACATAACCCCTTCCTCAATGCTCTTCTTGTTAGAGAAGACATCCTTCAGGTAACTTTTGAAAGTTGGAAGGTGGAGAACCAACTTCAAGAAAGGGAGTCTAACATATAGCTGTCTCATGATCTCATCAAAGCGTGCATACTCTTTCTGCTTCTGAATCTGTCTCTCACGGCCTGGAAATGGTAGCTTGGGAACATAGGATGGCGGCTCCACATATAAAGGTTCATCAACCTTTCCAATCTTGTCCTCTACAGATGTCTCAACAACAATAGCCTTAGCTTCCTCTTGTTTGGCAACATCACTCTCTCTGGGCTCTTCATGGATCATAATCGCATAACAATGTTCCTTACCCTTGGGTTCTACCTTCACAGGATGAGCACCAGCTGGTCGTGTAGAGGCTGAAGCAATTTGAGCAACCTGACTCTCAAGAGTCTTGACATGTGAGGATAGCGTTGTAAACTTCCCATTGAGATCATTGTACATGATATCTACCTTTACATTGATCTCAGCAGCATTCTTCTTCTGACCTTCAAGAATCTGCTGCATCATCAATTTCATCTCATTATCTCCAGATGTAGATGCATGAGTGGTACCTGCAGGAGGTTGGAATTGTCCCTGGAAGTTTCCCTTAGTCTGAAAACCTTGACTAGGCTGAAATTTCTGACCCTGTGACCCTGCCTGAGTTGGATACACCTGATCCTGAGGATTCTCAACATTGGTACTTCTGTAGGAAAGGTTGGGATGGTTCCTGTAATTCTGATTGAACCCTCTGTTCTGATAGGTTCCATACCCATTCACGAAATTCAACTCTGCCTGTAGATCTTCAGAACCGTCTCCGCTGAACTCTTGATGCACTGGACCTTTACTTGAATCATCACAGAAATTGACAACCCGCTGATCTCTCTTGAGGAGCTGCTCTACCTTAGCTGTCAACTCAGCAATCTGTTTCGACTCTCCTTCTCCACCTTTGTACGACCTGTCATAGTCAACATTGTGGTTACTGTTGCTGGTTGCCAGATTCTCAATAAGCTCTGTAGCTTCATCCTCAGTCTTGGTCATGAAATCCCCATTACTAGCAGTATCCAAAGCCATCTTGTAGTCCTTATCGACTCCCCTGTAGAAAGTATTGATCAAAGTGGCATATGGAAACCCGTGATGAGGGCATTCTCTGTAGTAGTCTTTGAACCGCTCCCAAGCATCATGGAACGATTCTGTACCATGCTGCTGAAAAGAAGAGATCTTGTTCCTCAGAATAGCTGTCCTGGACTGAGTAAAATACTGTGACAGAAATGCAGCCTTGTAGTCTTCCCAGCTTCTTAAATTCTCAGTGTCCAAAGACTTCAACCAGCGATGGGCTTTGTCAGCCAAGGAGAAGGTGAAAAGTCTGCATTTGATGATATCATCAGGTACTCCATTCATTCTTGTTGTACTGCATATATCCTCGAAGTTATCCAAATGGTAGACTGGATTCTCCGAGGTGAGACCATGGAACTGATTCTGCTTCACCAAAGATAGCAACCCTGTCTTAATCTCAAAATCATTCCTATTGATTGGCAGCTGTTGGTTCCTGTCTCGGAAATGCACAACATTAGGAGCATCATGCTCTCTCAGAGTCTGTCGAGCATGCGCGGGCCTAGCATTTGCTACAGCTACACGAGCGGCATTAGCAGCAGCATCACGTTCAGCAGCTGCACGGGCAGCGGCATCTTGTTCACCAGCAGCAGGAGCATTATTGTTTCTAGGCGGTGGAGGATCCTGAAACACTCCTTGATGATCACCTCCAAGTGGGAGTTCATCTCTATTCTGAAGATTTCCTGCAGCATCAAATTCAGCCATTTCAGCTTCTCTCTGCTCGGCTATCTTCTTCTTTTTCTTATTCGCTCTTTCAAATTTTCCGATATCCTCTTGGTAGTCCGCTAGATGTGACGAGCCTTGACTGCGGGTCATACACCTGAAAACACCAAAGAGAAAACGAAAACGAAAATCAGTGACAGAAAATAAAAATGCTTTAGACTAAAAACTAATCCTAAATCCTTAGGTAACGCAATTGGTCCCCGGCAACGGCGCCAACTTGATTGCTCGAGTAATTACCCGATACACTTAACCGCAAGGTAGTATATACGGGGTCGATCCACAAGAACCAATGGTACACTAAAGACTTCCGAGACTCGTTCTTAGCTAAAGCGGAAAGGTTGTTTGTTTGGTTTTCAGATTGTAAAATAAAAATGCTAATAAATAAAAAGATTGAACTTCAAGATTTAAAGACATTGGGCATTAGGGTATTTCAGAGATCAATAAACAAAGGAAACATGAAACAAGGAATTCAACAATTAAGAACCGTTCTTGAACATGAACACATTTAGACCAATTCTCTTTCAAGACATTAATCACTAAATTTGACTATTCGATTACTAAACTTTCGCATGCAATTTCCTAATCAAATTCGCATTACCAAACAAGTTCATTAAGTTCACAATGCGTCCTAACGTCAACTTTCGTTGGCTAGAAATACATTGCTCAATTCACATTCTTTCAGGCATTCTATCGAACACTTTTGATGCATAGAAAAACCTAGAATCTACAACAGGGTGATCAATCCTATTCTAGCATTAAGAACATGTGAATCAAAGAACCTAGAGAATAAGAATTCCTAATACAGTTAATCCATTAATCCATTGAATCTCCTAATTAGAACCCTAAAACCCAATTGGAGAACTACTCACTCATAGCAAAAGGAATAACACAAAGAGATAAAGAAGACATAATTGAATTGCAATGAATATAAAAGATAAGGGATTAGAAATCTTCTCCAAAGTGTCAAAGAGGATGAATCTCCAATCCCAATAGTAGCTTACAGAAGAAAAGTCTCAAAAAGTTGCAGAGAAAGAAGCGTGAAAAGAAAATTAGGTTTCTGGGGTTTTTATACCCAAGTACAGAAAATAGAAGATAAATCCGGTTAAGGAAAACCAAAACCGGGCGTCAGGAAATCAGATCGATCGGTCCAGAGGAGGACCGATCGGTCCAACCAAATCTGCTCTCCGTCGAAGCTCCGGACCGATCGGTCTAGGTGTGGACCGATCGGTCCAACCCTCTCTGTCCCGACGTCGAAGCTCTGGACCGATCGGTCTAGTGGAGGACCGATCGGTCCAACCGGCTCTGGTCCACGTTTTCAGCTTTGGACCGATCGGTCTAGTTGGCATCTGATCGGTCTAGTTTGTGACTGGTCGGTCTAACTGGCTGTGTCTGCAAAATCAACTTCTCTCTCCTGTTTTGACCCGAACAAGTCCAAAAATGCACGAAAATCTCCAAATCCCGCTCAAACACCTATGACCTGTAAAAGACTCAAGACAAGACCAAAAAGACGCAAAAGATGGACTAGACATGACTAATGACTCATAACGACACCTAAAACAAAGACTCAAAACCGATAAAAACACAACACATCAGAGCAAATGATAGGATAAATGTTTCTTCGAGACCAATCAGATATGAGTTTATGCCTAGGGCTCTATATGTAGTGTTCTATAACTCATTATAAAGCTATTGAGAATTCAAATCTAATTGTCTCAATCTAAGTGAAATTCTTATGATTCTAGAGTGAATCTTATAGAATTTTAAGAGTTGACGGGTTTTAATCTCACACAAAGTTTAATTTCTAAATACAACCCCATCCAATTTGAGTTTTTGGTTATAATAACACATGTGAAAGTTTTTTGACAATATATTCTATACGCATTAAATTTAAATTCAAGTTGTATATTTTATGTTGTTAATGCCTAACAATTTCCATCAATTTCGTACTTAACCGGATTAAAATATCTGAAAATCGATATAAGCCTAAACACTACAATTTTATGTTTTATGTCAGTCTAGTAGCTTATCTTCGTGATGAAACTCATTATCTTTACAATTACTTTGGTATCTTTGTCTTTGGTTATGATTATCTCTAAAATTATTTTTATATATTTTTCTGAGTGTTATAATTCGTTATGATTACATCAATCTATGTATCTTATTTTTCCTCATGTAAATTTAATAGTTTTCGATTGGCTCTCTCAAAAAAAGTTCTTGCGTATAATTTAGTGAAATAAAGCTTTGTTGTCAACACAGAAAAATAATTACCAAAAATATTCATGTTTGTTTAATTTGATCTTAAATCCTAGCTAGTTATTATTTGAATATATATTTTTGAGGTTATTTTCCCATTTGACAAGAATTTTTTCTCAAAATTTTATAAATTTGTATTTTAATTTTTCTCATGTGTAAGCTTAATAGTTTTCGATTGGCTTTTTGAAAAAAAAAGTTTATTGCATATAATTTAGTCAAATAGAAATTTGTTGTCAACACAGAAAAATGATTACCAAAAATATTCATGTCCAAATGTTATCCACGATATTTTGTTGGAGGATGTTCATGGGAAGGAACTTCCACGTTATGTTCGGTTGTAATTCTTTTATTTAATTTAATAAATCGGGGGAGTCCCTCTCGCTTAGGGCTGTAAACGGAGCGGATATCCGGTTTTTTTTAGGATATCCGTATCCGTATCCGTATCCGTATTATCCGCCAATTTGGTATCCGTATCCGGATCCGGAATTCCGGATATCCGGTATCCGGATATCCGTTAAAAATCCGGATATCCGCGAATATCCGTAGACATGCAAAAAAAAAAAAATCATTTTTTCATATAAAAATACTGTATTTTCGTATAAAAATACCGTATTTTCTTATAAAAATACTGTATTTCGTATAAAAATACCTTATTTTCGTATAAAAATACAAAATAATCGGATATCCGTTATCCGTTTTTAAAATTAACATTATCCGTATCCGTATCCGAAATATCCGTTATTTTATTATCCGTATCCGTCTCCGTTTTCCCGGATATCCGTTTTTGCAGATAAAAAAACGGATACGGATACGGATATCCGCGGATACCGGATAATAATCTCAGGCCTCGCTCACCAAAAAAATATTCATGTTTGTTTAATTTGATCGCCGGTTAAAATTTGTAAATTACAATTCGACCCTCTCGAAGCTTCTTCATCTTCTTCTTCTTCTCCTCAATATTCACAAAACTCAGCTTTTCATTTCTCAATTCATCTTCTTCTTCTCAGCTTTTAGGGTTTCCATTGTTCCGATCAACAAATTAGCTTCAATGTCTACGAATTCCAATTGCACCGTCTACATAGGTAAGTTTCTCTTCAAACATCTCCATTGATCTTGAGTATTAAACCTTCTCGAAACCAATTCGAAAATGATGATTTTGAAAAAATCAGGAAACGTAGACGAGAGAGTAAGCGATAGGGTTTTGTATGATATCATGATTCAAGCTGGTAGAGTAATCGATCTACACATTCCTCGTGATAAAGAAACTGATAAACCTAAAGGCTTTGCCTTTGCTGAGTATGAGACTGAAGAAATCGCCGATTATGCCGTTAAGCTTTTCTCCGGTCTTGTTTCGCTCTATAATCGGAATCTGAAGTTCGCTGTGAGTCTTGTTCTCTGTCTTGATTATTGTGGTTCTTGATTTTGTTGTGGTTCTTGATTTTTGTTTTGTGGAAATTAGATATCTGGACAGGATAAGTTACAGGCGAATTCCGGTCAGAGGACGAGACCGCAGTCTTTGGCTTTCGAGCATTCGGATAGAGGTTATAATCATCATCAATCGGAGAGGTTTTCGTCGCAATTGATTTCTCCACCTTCACCACTGCCTCTGGATAACACACAAGGTTTCTCTTTTACTTGTTTCTCTTGATATAGCGAACAACGAAAAAGATCGAGAAGCTTTCGTTTAGAGCATTGACATAAGTAAGCCAAAATCTTGATGGTTGTCTCAATGTATGATTAGTTTTGACTTCTGAGTTATAAGAATTTAGCTGCTTCTTTAAGGAATCAAGAACCTTCTTCTGCTCAATTTATTTCTCTTTCTATGTATAAGAGTATAAAGACTTAATGTACTTTGGTTTGTTTGCTTAATCTAATGGCTATCATTAGATTGGCTGCTGGAGTTATGAGAATTCTAGCTGCTTCTTTGCCGAATTCAACACAGATTACGATATCAAGAACCTTTTTACTTCGTTCGAAATCGTTTTTCCGAGTATAAGAGTTAATGTACTTTGATCTGTAATTTTTGGTTTGTGTGCATTTTTGCAGAGCCACCTCCACCAGGAGTATCGAATGGAGCCAGTTTGGAGTATAGTAGAAGGCTTCTGGGTTCGGCACTAGATAGTATCAACCATTCAAGACCACGTCGCTACTGAACTAGTGATAAACACTTGCTCTTCTGTTTGTTAGACTGATTATCGATATCAAGATGAAGAAGTCGTGAGTTTCACGATCCACGGAAAGAGAAACACAGCAAGAAACTGATGTAACCTTTCTTCCCTTATAAAAGACATATATCTGTGTTGTTTGTAACAAAAGTACCTTAAACTGTTACATTTTGGATTATCGCCAATGAAAATACAAACCCGAGTTGGATTTAAGCAGTGCCGATGCATTAGCCACCGCTTATTGGAGGTATGATGGCTAACTCATCTCTATGTTGAACAATGGCGGAGTCGGTTGTATATTCCTCGTTCAAAGCAAGAACGACACAGCTACGTACCTCTTCCAAGCTTGGAAACTTAAGCACCAACTCATCCATACATTTCTGTGTTGTACTACCTGATGGCATCTTCAGTGTTAGATCAGGCACACCTGTGAGCTCTCGAGCTCTGGCGAATAACAACACTTTGATCTCCACTGATGAAGTGTCATCACTTTCAATCTTTGTAACTTCTTTGTCCATGGCCACCTGAAAACACCCAAAATGATTGAGTCTTAACACACAACATGAAAAGAGAAGCAAATAGTCTCCAATTGTGAAGTCTGAGTCATGAGTTTATGAACATATAATTGGATCTTTGATTTAGTGAACCAAGACTAAAAATTGATCTAAGAGATGCAATTTCTATGTTAAAACAGTAATTTGATAATTGAACCAGGAAATGAATAATCAACCTATGTTTCTCAAAATGAAGAAATTTTATGAATCTGGAAGATATAAATTGAAGGAAGAGTTTACCGGAGAGATTGATTAACCGGAGAAGTAAAAGTTGATCGCCGGAGATTTAGGTGAGACAGGTAGAGATGGAGCTCGAAATCGCGAAACCAACCACCGACGGCTCTGGTTAGTCTGCGTCTCTGCGACGACTATTTCTCTGGTTTAATACTAACTACACCACGACCAAAAAAAAAAAAATATACTAACTACACATGAGCCAGAGCTACGTCATCTCAAACTCTTATTTTTACTAAAATGTCCCCTCCATGTCTTTGACTGTGGATATTGGAAATGATGACGTGTCCGATCTGGATTTTGGTTTAGTTTTCAGTTTGGAATTTTAGTTCATAAACTAGATTTTAACCCGCGGTACACCGCGGGATGATTTAATTTTAAAGTTAGTATAAAAATATTTTGTAAATTGTATCTCGTTATAACATATTTATTTATATTATAGTTTACAATTGTTATTAAGTAACGGTATACCACGAGTCCACGAGACAATTATTAATAAATTGAGGATTTAACCCGTATTAAAGCGGTATATAAATATTGATTCAAATTCGTCCGCCATATAAATTTTTTCCGAAATATAACTCGTTCCGTAATTTCTTAGCCCGTCCCGTAATTTGTTTTTATTTTAAAATTTAATGATTATTTATTATATATAAAAATTTACAAATCATATCATTCTCTAAGACATTTATATTTGAAGAAAATGAAGATTTAATATGTATTAAAGCGGCATGTTAATGATATTTTAAAATTGTATAAATATTTTTATTAAGTAACATTATACCACGGGACAATTTTTGGTTTTATACAACTTTTTCTAAATGAGACTGATTTAATATGTCTAATATTGGTGGTATTAAAAAAAATAAGGATTTAATCCGTATTGAAGCGGCGGATTAATGATATTTTAATCTTTTTATTATTGTTGATTCAAAAACCCGTCACGCCAAACCCGTCCGGCCAAAAAACTCATTTATTTTATTAATGTTGGTCTTATTAATGATATGATTCTGAATCATTGTCTAAATATTTTAATCGATGTAGAACGTTGAACACACATTTTTGTAAATTGGATAATATATGTCCGTTTTTAAAATTTCGAATCACAAAATATGCAGAAAAAAATTGATTTTTTTTTTACTTTATGTATTATATGATGATTCAAAAGAGTTAAAAACAAATCAAACAAAGATGATAGGAGAATCATAATTCTAAATCTTAATCAAATCTTCTAAATATCTAAATTATTAAATATAAAATATCCGGTGTATGAGTTGGGTTAAATATAACCCGACCCAACAAATTTTTTCGTGAAGGAATTTAAAAAACGGGTCGGATATCCGATTAACCCAGAAGTATTTTTACCCACCCGTCACCAAAGTGTTGCAAAAATACTAGTATAGATAAAAATACCACTTAATATAAATGTATATTTTTTTACTCAACCACTTAATATAAATATAATTTCAGATTTTTACAACAAATTAATAAAACATATAACTTTTTTATTTTATTTACTTTTTTACAAAAAAAAAATAATATTAAATAAAATAAATTTAATCAATAAAAAAACATACCGTATAATATGGTTGATAAAAAATAAATTAAATGTATTTAATTTTTGCATAGAAAACTGGAAAATATCATTTAAAATTAAACAAAAAAGTTGCAAAAAAGAAACACATCATTTAAAGTGATACATAAAAAATTATTATTATAGCATGGGTAATTGGGTATAATTAACCTAAACCATACATATTATCCACTCGATTAATTGACTATGGTACTTTTAATATGATTTAAAGAAGTGGTCACAAACATTTTATTTTGAACATGCCATGATATAGTAATGTTTCCGATTGTGAATATGTATCATATTTGTGATCGACTTTGTCTAGATCTAATAAGTATTTTGCATCTGCAAAAACCATACATTTAATCATTTGGACAGCCACAACAAAGAACATTCTCAAGGCACTGTACACAACTGATTGAAACTCTACTGAGATACGCCCTACAAGCTTCGGTTTACACAATATGGAGAGAACGTAACAGAAGAAGGCATGGGGAGAAACCAAATTCACTTACACGACTCATTGGTTGGATCGATAAACAACTCCAAAACAACCTTTCATCGATCAGAATCATGGGTGATAGGCGGTATGACGAAGGGCTTCAATTGTGGTTTGCTTCAAGAGCGTAAAACACTATAGTTTCTAAATTTTCAGCTTACAATTTCAGCTTTGATTCAAAAACATCGCACTAGTTGTAAAAACGATATATTTTTCTTTTGAATATAATTTAACACTAAATTCAAAAAAAAAATTGTAAAAAAAAAGAATGTTTAATTATAATAAAATAATATTAAATCAGTAGATCTTTGAATATAGCGGAAGACATGTATAGTCACACATTCAATCTCTTCAATGAATCACATGTGTAGTGTGATGCAAACTAGAGAATGGTACAAGGGGTTTGGTTCTCCCACACTACTCTGAAGTACTCATTCATTGTATGGCTTGCTTGGCACAAAAGATTCTCCAAGGAAAATAGAATGACTATTTGGAATGCGGGTGTAAATCTAGATGTGTTTTTTTTTGGGTTTTCAGAGATCCGATACCACTTATGTAGCTACTCAATGCAGATTTGAGAGAATATTCTTTTGCATCATGACGGGTTCGTCCTTAAAGCATGAAACATTTCCTATGTAATTAGAATATTATCCGATATTAATTACCCAACACAAAAGATATGCAATTAAAATTTATGAATATAATGTAAGCATGGTTTTTTATTGAATAAACTTTTATATTCTTACAAAAAAAAAGTTTTAATGTAAGACACAAACTGAATCTTACAAAGAGCCTCTCTCTCTCTTAACTCTCCCATATCTTTTTTAGAGAGAGAGCTTCTTTTTCCTATTTTGATCGGATTATATAATAGCTTTCTTTTGTTGTTTTTGTTTTTTTCAGAATCAAATCGAAGAACTATGGCTCGGATTTAGTGACCTGTTGTTGTTAATTTTCTTATTTGTTTTGGACAATAAACTTCCGACTAATCTCGGATTTGCTTGTTCTCTTCTTCCTACATGCTTAAAGTCAAATCGCCGGAGCTAATAGCTAGATCCTCTTTGTTCATCTATCAGCTCACCTCTTCTTGTAAGTGGGAGTAATATCTGTTTATGGAGGAGACATATCAAGGCCATTGGCGAAGCTTCCTACTATGAGAACTGATTAAGATTATGAAGATTTGATGTTTCTTCTCGAGCTTATTCAAGATGGAATCAATGGGTTATTGTGCTAATGAATTTCATAACCATCATTCAGCTTTTTCCAAAAGAGACGGAACAAAGAAAATCATAGACTCAAATCTCATTTACTTTTCTTCCACATGAGTTCAAAATGAAAGAGATTATCAATAAGAAAATAGATACTAACAACTTTAGACATTATGCATTACTCATGGCTCTATAAACTCAAAGGTATAAGTAAAACACAGGGCCGGCAATTAATTTGGAGTCCCGGTACAAATCTTAAAAAATGGCCCTTTTTTTAATACAAAAAAAAATTTGGCCTTTTTCATGTTAAAAAAATCTTAAAAATTAATCTTTTTCATACGAAATAAAATATTTGGGCCTTTTTCATGCTAAAAATATCTTAAAGTTTTAAAAATTACCCTTTTTCGTACTAAAAAAAAATTTGGGCCCTTAAATTTACCCAAAAAAATTTGGGCCCTGCACATTTGCTCCTCTTGCGCACCCCAAACGCCCCCTGGTAAAACATAGTAGCAAAAAACACACTCATTCTTCTCCTAAATATACCTCTCTTCTTCTGATATTTCGTGCATAATTCTTTGTAATGTACCCTCCGAATTCTGCATCAACCCCATGCTTGTGCGTGAGGACGACTAAATAGACTCTCATCAGCAACTTAGGAAATCTCTTACGATAATATTCCTCTATTCCTTGAACTGTTCCCTTATAAAGTGCCTGAATTTATATTTTCCATCGTTCCTGATTAATTTAAAACCCTAACAAGTTTTACCATGTTCGCAATATATTGAGTTTGAGTTTAGATACTTAAAATTAAAGTACTTATGAAACTAATAGAAAACAAGTAAACTAGTAAAATCATCAAAACATATTTTGAAGGAAACTATACAAATAAGTAATTTTATTTGTGAGTGGAAGGACCACAAAATTTGCTACACAAGTTGGAATATCTCTTACATACTTTTTGATTATCTCACACACACAAAATTTTGCTAAACAAGTTGGAATATATCTTACATATCTTTTGATTATACCACACATATGCATATACTTTTTGTTTGTACGTAGGTGTTCGGACACTTTGAGATAAAACAATGCATTTTCAAAAAAATTAAAACATATTTATGTGAACAAAAACTACACACTCTCGTGAAAATTATGTAGTATGAGCGCAAAACTAATGAGTTGCCATTTAGAGTGATCCACGAGCACGTGACATTTTTTAAAGGTGTGACGGTTAGAAGAAATGAATCAGTTAATGAATTGATATACTTTTTGTTTGTATATTTTTCATTTAGTTATAAAACTCACAATTTTTAGTTTTAAATGAATTATTAATTTTTTTAATTTACGTGTGACATAATTGCTTTCTCTTTTTTCATAATTTATTACTTATTCACCAAAATAATAGCAAAGTAATATTTGACTACATCAATGTATTTGGATTGGATGGATCGGTTATGTATGTGACTAACTGAGTATCTATCAGTGTACCCCAGTCTATAGCAAGTCCTATAACATGCTGTGTTTGGATATTCAGCAAGCTTTCTATCATTTGTCAATGAAAGAATTGGAGAAACTTCGGAAATCAATTTCGCTTATTTCGGAGATATTGAAGATGCTAGAAACGAGAAATCAATCGAGAAATCAATCGAGTTCCTTAGAGAAATCAATCGAGTTCATTAGAGAAAGAAGGTATCAAAATTAAGGTTTTTTTCTCAGAGCTCTTTTGGATTCTGAAGAATACGAGGGATATTACTTGGGTCACGTTTCATGGATATTACGATGTCTCATATTTACTCAAGTGCTTCACCTCTTTACCGTTTACTCCATAGAGGATTTCGAAAGCGGTAGCGAGAATTCTTGGTTCTGTTTACGATTTGAAAGTCCTGGCGGGTCGATACGAGGGATTAAGTAGTAGACTTGGTTCGGATTCGGTTCGGATGGTATCGGATTTGAATCGGTGTCGGATCAGTTTTCGAGAAAAAAATCTAAAAATTTGTATAATTTTAATAAAAATTGGTTTAATTTTCTAAAATTTGGTTTAATTTTACGGGTCGGATCCACTGAATCCGGAAGAGGTTTGGATTGATTTAGATGTTAATCGATCGGGTTTAGGGGCTTGTGATCCGCCCGTCTCTGCCATCTCCTCGCGCATGGCCGGTTTCGAGCCTTAGATGAGAAGCCGATCGTGCAATGTTTCATCTTATGTACCAATAGAACAGAGATACATGTGTTTGCGTTGATCCCATGCATATAGTAGTTTACAATATTATCCAATCACTTTTGTAAGTCTTGTCTCTGTCATTGGAGACACAAGCGATCATTATAGCATTTGTGTCTCGTCTTGAAACTGACTACATTTCAATCTACAACTAATTTGATTTGAATGCATTCTTGTTTGATAATATATATGCAAGAAAACATGATGTACTCACGTATTGAAGGAAGCTAAAGAATCCTCATAAGCTTAAACAGCCCATCTTTAATACTAGATGTCTTTAAAATAAGTTTTGATAAAACACTAGTTTGCTTCCAAGTAACGAGTAACACAATTACCAGAACAAAATGCTAAGCCAACAGAGTAATAAAGCTAACACGAAACATGTAAATGGTAAGTGTCACACTCACAGGCAAGATAGAGAGAATTATATAAAAGACAATTTCAGCCATGGCTCTGACTTGGATAACAACTTGTTTGATAACTTGATGCTTACAGAGAGAAAATACATGTTGACACATTTATATCAACCATCATCTAAACGACACAAAGCATCAAATTTGTTAATGCTCTCAAACATACAACGATCTTTAGCATATATGCTTGACTTGAGTTGCTTTGCATCGTTAACACTAAGATCCTCAACATGGTCTACAAAGGCATAAACTATACCACAATGATAGAACTTTTCATGTTTAGCTCCAACACCTTGGAAGTTAACACATTGGAAAGTGTTCCTCTCGGGATTGAAGTAGAAAACATTATAAGGCCTAGATCCCCAATTATCCGACAAGACAATTTCACTTGTCATAGTCATCCCAACAACGGAAAGATGTTTGCGGTATCCATTCTCCAGAAAAGGGTAGACATATTTCGACCATTCCTGTTTCTCCACATCCTCTAGAACCCGTAGTTGTAACTCACGGGTATCCCATCCACTACCCCATTCACTACGCTGCTCATAATGCAAATTAATCCCACCTAATTTACCCTTATAATTTATCAATTGATGAATATACCATCCATCAATAAACCTAAATTTCTCAGACCTAACATCAAAGCAAACTATCATATATTCAAACGCATCATTTTTCCGCGCTAAGTAATACAAAACCCCATTGATGCAAATCCCTTGACCAGAAGACCTATGAGGCCTATGAGGCCTATGAGGCCTATGAGTAAAGGGACAATATTGGATCTTCCTCCACTTCATTTTTCCAGCTCCTAATGTCAGAATATGATGAAACGTTTCGTTATTAACGAAAGTGTTGATGAGCAATACCTTGAATTGCTTGTCAATCGGATCAAACCCCAAAAAGCTGATCACCTCGCTGTCGAGTCTCGGTTTAGGTAAGATCACATACTGTCCTGTGAGTGGGTTACATATCACAGGCACGGAATCCTCCTCACTCTTATTTTGTGAGATCCGCATATCAGGAAAATAGAACAAACCAGAGGCATAGATGCAATGACTTCGGCTTTTAAAAAACTTGGTATGAAAATCTGCCGTTACTACAGTAGACTTCTCATATGGATTCTGAGGGTGAGGTGACGAGTAGAAGAGCCATTCATCGTTGGCTTGTTTGACGGCAAATAAGAGACGTGGACGAGTCAAGGACTTGGTCAGGAACAACTCAGTGAAATCTTGACGGCCAAGTAATGACTTCCATAGCTTCGACACGCAACGACACCTCCCGACTGACTTTGTAGGCAATCTCGAGAAGATCTCGAGAAAGAGATCAATTGGGATTGAATCTAATGTTTTCTCTCTATTCATGATCGTTGTATTGTTGTATTTGTTCATCGGACTCTATTATATAGAGAGCTCGGGCCTAGGGCATTTATTGGTTTGGTTTGGTTTGGTTTATTCAGTTTGATTTTGGTTTAAAGGCATAAAAACCGATCAGCATATCTCCACGTCATCACTCGCTCGACTCTTACCAAGTCCAAAGATAAAACCTTTTGGCTATTTTACGGGTGATGAATCAGGCAGATCGACTCAATGAAATGTTTGCAGAGGTAAGAAGGGTCCTTGTGATCCGCCCGTCTCTGCCAACTCCTGGCGTATGGCCGGTTTTGAGCCTTAGATGAGAAGCTGATCATACAATGTATCATCTTATGCACCAACCGAAACAGAGAGATACATGTGTTTGCGTTGATCCTATGCATATAGTAATTTACAATATTATCCAATCATTTTTGTAAGTCTCGTCTCTGTCTCGGAGACACGCCGAGTGAGCATTATAACATTTGTGTCTAGTCTGTTTGACTCATTACTAATAAACTGACAACCTTGGGAAAAAATGTTGAGAAGAGTACATAATCTTTTAACCTAAATGCAGTAGCTTCCTCACGAAAACAGAACAAAATTTCAAGATGCATTTCACTACAAAAACGGTCTCTAATCATCAGCTTCTGCAACCAGGATAGAAATAGTCGATGCCGTTTTCCTTGATCCTGAATTGAAAATTCTGCAACTTGTTCCTCGAGCTTCCTCGACCTGAATTGCTTATCCCCTTGTTCAGAACAGTCAACTTAATACCAAAAATCAATTAGACACCAAGAAATTATCAAACAAAAGGTTCAATTAGTGATTTAAGGAAAAAGAGTATTGTGATTGCTTACTTGGCCATGTACATCATTTGCTAAACCAGAGGCTAAAGGCTCTGCCTTTATCACAACATCTGCAAGGCACACCATCTGTAGCAAAAATGCAGGTCTCTCCATGCTCGCATATATATCTTCATGATTGAGAATGACCAATGAACAATTCTGTCTTTCAAGAAAAAATAAAGGTGTAGCCGTTAGAGACTCAAAATAAGTAAATCCCCAATAATGTATTCCAGAAAGTTTTAGAGCATCTGGCTTACGCTTTCAGAACTTAACGTGTGGCAATAGTGCAGGAAGTCCAAGACGTGATCTGAATTGCTGCTGGTAGTCGCAATTTCCAGGAGAGACATGTCATCCACCATAACAGTTATGTTACCATTAGTTACACTCTGTAGCTTTCGAACAGTATCTTGTATCTCCCGAAATAGTTTCGCAACTGCACTCACATTGTCTTCCATTTCTTCACCATCTGGTAAAGAATTTCAGCAAAAGAAAGTGTTTTCATATCTTAAAAACAGATGTATTGACACCACTAAACAATGAAACTCCTACAAGTAGATGAAATCAAATTCTGTTTACATAACATAAGTCAAATCTGGAGGTAGAATCTAAGCTAGCCCAACAAAAACCTCATCATTTGTGTTCAAAATACAACTTCCTTGTTCAGAATCTGATATGCAGAGAACAGAGACAATTGCTACTTCATGTAATTAACTCGTCACTTACATAGAAGAACCGATGATCAAACAATCGAGATCACCAAAACCAAAACCACAAGTAAGAAGATTTGTTCTAGAGATATCCTAACATTCTCTAAAGCTACCAAACCATCCAAAATTAAGTCTATTTAACTCTCTAAGTATCAAAGACTAACTAAGCTGATGTGAGTTATGACATTAAGCATTAGCTAAACTCTACTTCTAATCAAATCAATTGTTTACCTGAGATAAGTCTCACCTGAACACTTGACCATTAGCATGTCAAAGAACACCAATCGATTATTTGTCTTATGGGTCGCTAAATTACATCCCTGTAACATAGTAAGACACTAAGAAATTCTTGTAGAAACCAATGAAATTGGAGACAAAACAAATAAAGATCGAAACTTTTTACCAGTTTACGCAAGATTCGATCATAATGAGAGAAAGGGCGAGCAAAAGCGAGAAAGATAAGAGCGTCAGAGGAATTAGGGGAGAGAACACGTTTCATCAGCTGGTGAAGAACAAAGGAACCACTGGTCTCTACACAGTCTTCGATTAGTATTACTTTACCATTTAGTGGAGATGGATTAGCTAGCTGCTCATCGAACCCTAAGGCTAAATCGAGGAGATTCAAAGATCGATCCATGGAGAATTTGGACGGAGAAGAAGAGACAGAAAGAATTTTGAGAGGGATTTTAGGTTTTTGCAAAAAGAAAGAAGAAAGAGAGTTTAACAACAAAAGACCTTAAGTTTGAGCGAATCTATTTTTTAACCCGGAAGAATACTTTTCATAATTGAAGCCCTTGGAACTAACTAACATGTCAATTAGGACTAAAATCCGTGGGATGGTCCGGTCCAACCCAGAAAAATAGCAGATTCGAACTTATCAATATACTAGATGATCAATACCCGTGTTATAGCACGGATTAAACTTTATTTTTTCTATTTTATATTTTAAAAATAATATTTTTGATATAATATATTAGTTTATGAATTGTGATGTTATTATAGGTATAGTTAATTATCGTGTTTAAAAAATCGAGACGTGCTAGTCGAACAGTGAAGGTGGGCTTAGCGCCTAGCAAGAAAATTAGAGATTAAACGGGAATTAATCGGGCGCTAGGTGGTCTAGACGCCGTCTAGGCGAACAAAAAATCGGATCACCGATTTTATTACCGATTTGGACAAAATCGCTGCGGTCCCTTTTCGATCAGCGCCTAGGTTGCATGGAGCAATTTCGTGATGTTATGCCCAAAATCGCTGATCCTAAGAAATTTAACGTGGTGGGAGCTTCTACGTCTGATGAACACCGAGTGGAACAAGGTCGTACCTACTCTGAAGGACGGAGGCAGCCGATTTTTAGAACAGGGGTTAATTATATATCCTATATAATAATTTCAATAATTTATGTTCTAAAGCAAGGGTTATATGTGACTATAAAACATAATTTTTTTTCAAAACAAGATTTTAGGGTAATTTAATATATATATTTTGTATAATACTATGATTAGTTTGATTATATTTTGTTTTAATGTATTTAGCTCTTTTTATAGATTTCTTTCATATTAAAGTGACATATAACCGTGCTATAACACAGATTGATGTTTTTTTAAAGATTACAAATTGTAAACTTATATTTAAAAAGAAATGGTGTTACTATAGTGAAAATAACACATTTATATCTTATTTTTGTTGTTGTATAGTTTTTGATTTTATTAAATCTTTCATAATAGAGTGCCTTATCAATTTTAGTTTTGTATTCCATGTTGTTTAAGTTTTATTTTAAAAATAGTTATAATTATCTGTGATACAATCTTATCATTAAAATTAATATAGTTATAATTACATGTAATATCATGTAAATTGTTAACGAAATCTTAACATAATATTGAGCTAGTTGTTAAGGGAATATTTTGTATATGGTTAAGAAAATCTTAAAAATATTACATATATATCGATTAGTAAATCGGAAATAACCCGTTTATAAGATCCGTTTATCCGCGAGAATAACAAATGGATCTTGTGTTAATTGACTTGTTTATCATTAATAAGCTGAATTAATTTGGTTTTTGAAATTCTATTTCTAATGGCATAACTAAGTAATATTTTACAAAGGGTAAGGTTAGTTTTTAAAGGTACTTCCATAATATTAGTATAGAGATGTCCAGAAAAAATTGAGCCTTTCGGACAAGTCCGTTCGGGGTAAAGGGTATCTCGGGCTTTGCAATGTTACAAAGGAGATAGTATTAAGGTTCATTGATTTGATGCAATGAAACTCGATGTTTTCTAAGTAGATTAATATGAGTTTGAGGTAAAAGACAATAACAATAAGTTTGTTGTCCACCTAAAGAACAAGACTTGCACATGCTGCATTTTTTACATTGACAAAATCTCATGCATTCATAGTAACCCGCAAAAATACTTTTCTTATTTTTTTTTCAATTATTTTTATTTGATCATATTTGTATGAACCACATTTGGAGTCTACACCAGCATTAAAAACAAAAATTTAAATAGGGTTCCCATTTCTTTTTTTGTTAAAATTTATTTTTTAACAATTTCAGAAAAATACATATTATTTATCGAATGATATAAGAAAATTGTTTGAATCATTATTTTTAAAAAATACTAGATATTGTACCGCGGGTCTATATTTTCTCTAAATAAAAAATGATTTTTTTAGAATGATCTATAGATATATGGTAAACCGCATGTCAATATTTTATAACTAAAAAATCAAAATTTAAGTTGTATTTGTTTTATTTAGTGTTTAAGATTGTATAATTGTATTTTGATCGCTAATTCTAGGATTTCACCCGTAATATACCATCTCGTATTAATATCGATCTAAATCCGTCCCACTATATAACCCCGTCCCTTGAAATTAAACATCATTTTTGTAATTTTTTTTATAAAGTTCAAATATTTCTAATATTTGAAACTTCATAAAAGTTTTAATACGACCCAAACTTCATAATTTTATTTTGATTGTTATATCTAGGATTTCACCCGTAGTATACCGTCTTGTATTAATATCTTTTATAAATATTTATAATGTTTAAACTACTTATAAATTCTTATAAAATTCAAATATTTATAATATTTGAAACTTCATAAAAGTTATAATATTATAAATAATTAAAACGTTTAATAAAGTTAGACTTTTTTAAAAGTTTAAATAATTATAATATTTAATTTTTTAATAAATTTTAAATATTTGGATCCACATTTATACTATATACTATAGAAATTAGAGTTTATGAGTTTAATAAGTATACTTTAATAAGAATTATTACAGTAATAAAATTTACAATCAATTATATATGTCTTACAATTTGGATGTATGAAATTGTTGATCTCATTTGTAAGCATGAGTGGAATTCAAAACATTTGGGTTATAGTTTGTATTTTCGTTTTTATTTTTTCTTTTAAGTTTTTTAAAAATCAATGCTATCAAACTGTAGTTATCTTATATATATATATTAAGATTATCATTAAACATGAAGATTTACCTAGAAAAAATAGGGTGAATAAAAAAGACTAACCATATGAAAGAATCTGACGTAAATTTAAAGCATATGCTCTTGATAATGGCAATCATCAATGGGTTGCTCATCTTGTATAGGATTATCTGCGCAAGACATCAAATGTTTATTAAATTCATGAATCAGAAAAATGAAAGTTCATATAACAAATAAAGATTGGAATGGGTAAGAAGAGGTATTTGTTTGATGAGTCTTCTAGTCGAGTAAAAGTGTGGTATTTATAGGGTAGGTAGGCATCTAGGTTTATTGTTAAGGTAGTTTGATAATATCTTGGAGAGAAAGTAGAAAATCAAAGATATTATATACAACGAAAGTTTAGGATATGTTTAAGGAAAGATTAGGAAATCGTTATATAACAAAATTTGTTTGAAAAAGATTGTAAATGATTTGGTTTTGCAGAGAATCTTAAAAAAAAGCTAAGCAACCATTTAAAAGGAATATAGCCGATTAATGTGGTAATTAGTTTAGGAAATCACATTAAACCGAATTAAAAAAATAATTATAGTCATAACTTTGTTTCTTAAAATCAAATGTTAAGAAAAATATCGAAGAGTATATAATTATGGTATCATCGTTGAGATTTTCTTGGGCGGGAATTATGGATTCAATTAGAGAAGGGAACCATATAATGGAAAGAATTTAATTAGCCATAATTATGTTTTAAAAATATTTTATTGCATAATATAAAGAGAATATAGATGATATATGGTATGTGGATGTAATTAGTTAAGATGGCATAAATATTCGAAAATCATCTCGAGATAAAGAGTAATATAGCCTATTAATATGGGAAGAAGTTAAGGAATAAGGAAACATAAATATATGTGTAATTATCTATATTAATGACGTTTTTTTGGTTAGAGATATGTAGAATTAAATGATAATTTGGTATTAATTAAATGCTATCAAATATCTCGGAGATTTTATTTTAGAAACTAATCGTGGACTAAGCAGAGATTTTTGCAAGATTCGTAAACGGAAAATCTTTAATGCTACTATTGATAAAAAGGAATAGAACCAATTAATGTGGGAAGTAGTTAAGGAAATAAGATTAAAACGAATTGTCTGTTTAATTTAGTCTTAAATGTCGTTTTTATTACAATATTCCTTAAATCTCTTATTCTAGATCCGAATAGGTTTAAACCGGGTAAAACCCGGATCCAAATGATTAAAAGCAAAAAAAAACCTGTAAAAATGTATATGTAGATATGAGTTTAATACCAGTAAATTAATCAAAGATTTGTAATCATAATTGGAAACGAATAATGCAGTAAATGCGATTAAGTAATCTTGTAAAGAATATTCCATTTATGTAGAATGATTGTTGCGATTAGTTTCTAATTAGTTTTATTTTTGGGATTATAGTATCTCAAATTTTAAACTAATTTAGATTTTATTGTTTTGTTTACATAAATACGAAAATAATTTGTTCACCCACATCATAAAATATTACCAATATATATATATATATATATATTACGTAATATTAAATAAAAGATTATATAACTAACTATTTTCATTTGATGGTGTAGACAAATTATTATTAATATTTATGTAATTTAATTACAAAAATAATTTAGAAAAATAACAAATATTAATTGTTATTTTGATTTTAAATTTATTGCAATTTAAATGGAGAATTGCCTATATTTAATCTGTTATTGTAAAAGAAAAATGACGTAGCTTATTGTTGGAGTATTTACACAAATTTATTAACATTATATATATATATATATATATATATATATATTAACATAATATATATATATATATATATATACTGTTAAAAAATAAATACATTTTTCTTTATAATTTCATAATATATTTATTGTTAAAATCTGGACATTTATTATGAGCATAAATATGAAAAACGATTTTCCATTAAAATTGGCTATTTATTAGGGTCATTAATATGAAAGATTATTTACCATTAAAATAGGTAACTTTTTTGTAATTAAAGAAACATTAAACGGAATAAGTAGATGAATTAAAGACAACATGGCTTCATTTATCAGTTTGAAATTAAGACAACATCCCTAAAATTGCTTATCCAATATCCGAACAGACTAAAACCGGGTCAAACCCGGATCCAAAAGAATTAAAGCAAAAAAGTACTGTAAAAATGTATATGTAGATTTAAAACTAGAAAATTATTTAACTTTTACCGTACTTACTAGTTTCTTTTTTCAACTTTTACTCCATTTATTTGAACATCACTTGGTTTACTTATTTAATACTAACTATACTTATCCAACTTGTATAGTCTAATCCGTTTGATCTATGTGTATATCTGTCAGTGGCGGAGCTACGTTGGTGGGAGTGGGGTCAACTGACCCCAATTACTTTTATATTTTGAAAGATTTGTTATTAAAAATTAAGAAAAAATTAGAAAAAATGGTTAAAATTTCTTGAGTTGACCCCATTAACATAGCTTCAATTCTCTTTTCTTCTATTTATACAATATAATGACCCCATTAGAAACTTATTCTAGATCCGCCACTGATATCTGTTCTTAATCCTAATTAACCCTAATTAAACATTGTAAGAAAAAGATGGAAATGACAAAAGGAATAAATACGATACTTCTCTCAATCTACCATACTTTAATGCCAAAAGATCTAGTTGAGCATTGAGATTGACACGTAACCAATTAAATACCTCCACGTAATTACTTCCTCAAAGTGGATAAGAACCATTCTTTTCGATCATCAACCGCTCTATTTCTTGATCCTTCTCCAAAATTGGGGGTTTTTCCATTAGGGTTTCTGATTATTGCAATTCCAATCTGAAATCTTCGAAATTCGATCGTCATGGATGATTGGGAGCTTCTTCATGGCTCTGATACAGAATCAATTGATTCGATCACATCGGAGAAGAAATTGGAGTGTGTAAGTGTAATCGATGACGGTATGATTCTTTCTGATCATTTCTCTGCTGATTGTGATTCTTCCCGGGTTGATTACGGGTCGGAGTCTCTGAATCCGGGTGAGGTTTGTGTTGATTTGGGTTTTGATCAGTTCAATGTTAATCAATCGGGTGTTGATTGTGTTAGAAATGAATTAGGGGTTTATGATTCGGAAACTGGAATTTTGAGTGATGGTGAGGTTAGGTTGAGTGATTCTGAAGCTGCCAATGAGAAGCATGTCGAGGCTGCTACTGAATTAACTGGTGGAACCATATCTCACTATGAATCAGAGAATCTCGAAGAAGAAGTCGATGATGGAAGGCACGGTGAGAACGAATCTGGTGTTGAAGAGCCTATTGAGGATTCGAGTAAGTTTTGGTCTGATTTAGGGGGAAATGAATTGGTTTCTGGAGATTCTGGGGTTGTGAATGGTGAAGAAGAGATTGTTTCTGATAGTGTAGTTGCTTCTAGTGAAGTAATTGAGGGAAGTGGAGGAGATACTGTAGAAGTTGGCGCGGTGAGATCTGGTCGTGAGGGTAAAAGTAGAGAGACTGTGTGGTGGAAGATGCCATTTGTGCTTCTTAAGTACTCGGTGTTTAAGATTGGTCCGGTTTGGTCTGTTTCGATGGCTGCAGCTGTGATGGGTTTGGTTCTCTTGGGACGCAGATTGTATAATATGAAGAAGAAAGCTCAAAGGTTCCATCTTAAAGTTACGATTGACGATAAGGTACACTATATTAACTCTGAACCTTGTGTTATCATTTTACTTGAAGTTTGTAAGCTAGTCTTGATTGATTCGGTTAAAGAGTAAGCTTTTGTCTATTATATTGCGCGTTGATGCAATTTGTCTGCCTTGATGTGTAGGATCAAGTTTAGTTTAGTTCAATGATGTCCCGTCCTAGCTTAAATCAAGGATATATATTATAGTTAATATGTTCTTAAAATTGATCCTAATCAAGAACAAAAAATGTTTAGGCCTCATCTGTGGGAAATGCTGAGATTTGATATCTTTCATTTGGCAAAATTTTATTTTATCATTATCACGTCTTGGGTTGTTTATGATTTATGCAGAAGGCGTCACGGGTGATGAGTCAGGCAGCTCGACTCAATGAAGTGTTCACAGAAGTAAGAAGGGTCCCTGTGATCCGTCCTGCTCTACCATCTCCTGGCGCATGGCCGGTTTTGAGCCTTAGATGAGAAGCCGTTTTCTACAATACCTATACACAGTGGAGAATCAATCGTACAATGTGCATCACTTTATGTACCTTAAGAAAACAAATACATGTGTGTTTATGTCGTACCTATGCATAAGTAGTTAACCATCTTATGAAATCGCTTTTGTGAGTCGTGTCCCTGCCGTGGGATACAAAGCAGAGTGATTACTGTAGCCATTTATGCATGTCTAGAGACAGAAAGTCTTAGTTGGTTAGCCTTTTTATATGTTCGATCTTAAGAATATCACAAGCTATGTGGGTTTTATTATGGATGTCATCAGGGTTTAAAGCTTTGAGACTATTATAGAGATGAGAACATTTCTCGAATCGTGATGAAATAGTCTGAAGTCGATAAAACCACTGCAATGGAAATAAATACCCTACAAAATCCTACTTTGGCATATAAATTGTTGTCGATTCTAGAAAATTAGAGCATAAGCTATCTCCACAACAACAAAAAAATGAACATCATGAACTTGGTATTTTCCAAAAACTGGCTAGCCCATTATGAGGCCCAAAAAGCCCAAACTTTAAAAATACTCGGCGAAGCCTTAAAGTTACTTTCTCCACCGCTCAGAGTCGAGAACTCTTTCACTGCCGGAGATAATTCTCTTCTTCCCCAAACCCTAAAAAGTACTCAGCTTTCCCTAAATTCCTCGCCGGACGATTTGTTTCCAGATGGCGGAGGAAGATGTTGTTGTTATCTCTACGCCGCCTATAGATCTCAAGCGAAAGCTCGACGAGCAACATGCCGGGTCGAATGGAGATATCGTCGATGATAGCAATCCAGTATCTGATTCTTCGCAGGCTAAGCGAGCGAAGCTCGACGATGAAGCTCAAGATAGTTTAGGTATTTCTGATTCTTTCGCTTCTTGTAAACTAAAGTTTTGATTTTTATGATGTTTTAGGGTTACTCTTTTGGCTAAAGAGATTTCTTTGAGTTTGTGGACAAATCAGTCCTTTTTAGGGCTCAATGAGACTGATTTTCTCATTGTTGTTCTTCGGCATTTGTTATAGATCATGGGAATACACAAGAAAATGGTTCTTCAATGGAGGTAAAAGAGGAAGAACAGCTTCAGGAGCTCAAGGATGAGAATCAAGATTCTGTACCACTTGTTGAGGAAGTTCAAGATCCCATTCATGCCAATGAGTCTGAAAATAACACTTGTGATGTAGCTCACGCAGCAGATGATCATGTTAAGCCTGAGGATAACCAACAGAGTTATATTGAAAATAGTAATGTAGAAGAATGTAAGGATGTCAATGGTGGTGAACCTCAGAAGGAGGTTGGTGACGAAAGTAAGGAGTTTAATGATGGCAGTTTTCAGAAAGAAGATAAGGAAGTGGATGGTGAAAATTCTCACAAGGAGGTTGATGATACACAGTCAACGACTCGCACCATAGATGTCCCAAGTTCGAAGGTGATATGATTTGGTTTCCATTTTTGACTATTCTGTGAGTATTTTCTACTGGAATTTTTTTCACTGACGTGCTTATCACAATGCTTTGTAGGTAGGTGTGCTGATTGGTAAAGGTGGGGAAACTATACGGTATCTTCAGTTTAACTCTGGTGCCAAAATCCAAATTTTGAGGGATTCAGAAGCTGATCCGAACTCTGCGTTAAGACCAGTGGAGATAATTGGAACTGTTGCATGTATTGAGAATGCGGAGAAGCTTATCAGTGCAGTCATAGCAGAGGTTAATAGTTTTTTTTTTTTTTCATTAGATTTTGCTTCTGTAAGATATTTGGTTACAAGAATTTCTTCTGGGACTACATTAGGCTGAAGCAGGAGGTTCACCTGCCCTAGTTGCGAGGGGCCATCCTTCCACTCATGCGATAGGGATTCCAGAACAGATAGAGATTAAAGTTCCAAATGATAAGGTATTCCCTATTTTATTCTGTCTAGCATCAATTTAATCATACCTAATTCAGCTTCAACTGACAGGTTGGTCTGATTATTGGCCGAGGTGGGGAGACAATTAAGAATATGCAGACAAGGTCCGGAGCACGCATTCAGGTGCTTACTTATATATAATGTTAAAAATATAGACAGACTGAAAGTATTCAAATTTTAGGACACGTTTTTTACCTCGTCTCATTCTATGTGACAACTGATTTTAAAATTTGTTGTGTAGTTAATACCACAACATGCAGAAGGTGATGGATTGAAGGAGAGGACTGTCCGTATATCTGGAGATAAGATGCAGATTGACATAGCAACCGACATGATAAAAGATGTTATGAACCAGGTTCGTTTCTGATACTATGCTCTAAACAATGCATGTGTTCCCATTCATTCTTGAGTTTGGTTTGTTGCTATCATGTGTCTGAAAAATCTTTCATTTTATGAATGCTACATATGTTTCATTCCGTCTTTAGTGCACGGTCTATCTGGTTGGGATGTTATATTATTTATATGGTGGTGCTTGTTACTGTCTTATACTTTGTTTGAGCTATTAGATATGTGTGTTTGCATCAAGTTTTCCCATCATCTGTTTTAGTATTTGTAGGCACTTTTTGTTCGTATTGCTCTGTTCCATAACTGGCTGTACAGCCAGTTTAGAGGTCTGTTACCTGAATAATGTATTCATGTTGTGCTGTTTTATGTTGCTTTCCTGTGAATAATGCTAAGCAATGAAATCATTATAACTCTCCATCTTCTAGTACATATGGAAAACATATGCTGTAGTATATTGAGTATTCTCAACGATACCATCTCCTGGGGTCATTGAATAGCTGCATGTTCTGTGAACACACCCTTGAGGATTAGTTGATCTACTGCTTCCATAAGAAGGTTAACTTGCAAAACGTTATGTGCCGAGTGTAACAATAATACTCATTTAAACCTGTTAAGAACATCATATGTTCCATCCCCGATGTCGGTTGCCATGATTTTTTTTAATGTTAAAAGTGCCGATCTCGAATTGGTGTTGGCTTTAAAAATGCAGATTTCGCTATTACCGTTCACATGGGGTCAGCATTGCCTCGTTGGTGTTCAGTAGACTGATGTGTACAGAAGAAGGTATCTGGCATTGTTATTCAGGCTTGCAGGTTTGAGACTTAACAACTCCAGGACCAATACTTTAGTGTAAATCTAGTAGGCAGATCTTCATTTTCTGAGACGTTTGCTCTTCCTTAACTAAATTCATTGAAGAAAGCTTTATTGGGAAAATTGTAGGCTGATGTACACCTAATGTTTACCATTGAGTTTGGGAGTGTTCTGTAACTCCATTTGCAACCTAGTGTAACAAAATTGCATAAGATATAGTTGAACTTACATGCAATGGCTAGGGGAGAGTGTAATGGGGAAGTTGCTATAATATGACATGAAGATCTAATTTCGTTTTTTCCAAGCATCACTGTGGTTTCAATTATTCTATGGTGCCAAGCTGAGGCAAAAAAAAATCTGTTCACTTAGAAATAATTTGGCATGCTATATGTAAAATTAGAGCTGTCACTGCATTTAAGAGTCTAAACGTGTGGGTTTGCTTCTGAATGTCATGTGCACCTGACTGCTGTGATGAGATCCATTTTGTTATTACTGTCTTGCTATGTTCTTTGCTCACTTTTGTGCCATGTATTTCATCTTGTTTGCCCTAATAGAATCATATCCTGATAATATTTGTTGTTTTAAATGTTCCATCTTTATTGTCTCTGATGGGAAGTTTCATTGTTGTGTTTGTTTGTAGAATGCAAGGCCATCACCCTATTCTGGTGGTTATAATCAGCCTGCCTACCGACCCCGAGGGCCAGGTGGTCCACCTCAATGGGGTTCACGAGGTCCTCATGCTCCCCACCCCTATGATTACCACCCCCGTGGACCATATTCATCTCAAGGTTCACATTACAATTATCCCGGTTACGGTGTCTATCCTCCACAGCATATGCCTCCTAGAGGTGGATATGGTCCTGGTTGGGATCAAAGGCCTCCATATTCTGGTCCGTACGATTATTATGGTAGACAAGGAGCTCAAAGCTCTGGTCCAGTTCCACCTTCTTCTGGCCATGTACCCTCCCCTGCCTTGGGTGGTCCCCCTCCTTCGCAGGTAAGTTATGGTTACGGACAGAGCCATGGCCCAGAGTATGGAAATGCTGCTCCTTACTCCCAGACCGGTTATCAGCAGACTTATGGGCAGACGTATGAACAGCCTAAGTATGACAATAATCCTCCAATGCAGCCACCTTATGGAGGTTCATACCCACCAGCAGGTGGTGGTCAGCCAGGCTATTCCCAAATGCAGCAACCTGGTGTTAGGCCTTATGGGATGCAACAAGGTCCTGTCCAGCAAGGATATGGGCCTCCTCGCCCTGCAGCTTCTTCCGGGGATGTACCTTACCAAGGTGCAACTCCTGCAGCAGCACCATATGGCAGTACCAACATGGCTCCACAACAACAACAATATGGCTACACATCAAGTGGTGGGCCAGTGCAACAACAAACATACCCTTCTTATAGTTCTGCTCCACCGTCTGACGGTTACAACAATGGTACACAAACACCTGCAACTGGTCCAGCTTACCAGCAGCAAAGTGCTCAGCCAGCTTCTTCAACTCATGACCAGACTGGTGCACAGCAGGCTGCAGCAGCTGGGTATGGTGGGCAAGTAGCTCCAACCGGTGGATACAGTTCATATCCAACAACACAGCCTGCTTATGGTACAGGTCAGACCCAAAACTATGGATACAACACAAGCTCTCAAGATCCTAACTATGGATATGGTGCAGCACCGGGAAGCCAAGCTGCCTATTCACAAGCAGCACCTACTCAAGCAGGATATGAGCAACAGCCTGCAACTCAACCTGCAGGGTATGCGGCTGCTCCAGGGAGCGCACAAGTGAAAACCCAATCGCCACTGTCCGCTTATGCTCAGTACGAAGCAAGCCAGGTTTACGCAGCTCCACGTTAAGAGAAGCAATGTTGCAAAGTTTCTAGATTGCTTCTGGAGTCTTTAAGACGGTTCTTATTAACGTGACTCTTCTCCGTCTTTGACTCCTTCCCCTTGAATGCTTCGTTGTAATCACTCTTTTAACTTTATGCTGTTGAAATGTTGCTGATAGTTAAGCTGTTATATTTATTTTCGTTGGTCCATGCTTCGAAAGATTTTGTCTTCCCAAACTTATTATCATGGTTTTAGATTTGTGATGTCTTATTATCAAGGTTTTACATTCTCTTCCTCACTTGACAAGAAACGTTGTTACTCAAGACAAATAACATATGATGTAGATCAATTCGAGGCCTCTAGGCTATAAGCGGAGAATATTTAGGACGGCCTCGTACATGTGTTGGAGACGGCTTCTATGTTCATTGCTAGTTGGTACTATTTTCACAAAACGAGCCACATCTTTGAACCCTTTGTGTTGTCTTAACAACAAATCACTTTCTTCTTCTTCTCCTTTCACTAACTTTTCCTTCTCTTCTCCAAAAGATTGTGTTCGTGTCAATGCCCATTGTATAGACCATATAGCAAGAGGTCTCATATAACACAGAGACCTGTATTCATCATTCATATTCCACGCTTCTGGTGTCTGAAATGAGCAACTGCACCAACACACAAATCCCACAGAAATGAAGATTTTTTTTTCACTTTTATGTCTAGTGAAGCAGAAAGTGAGCTTATTTATTATACCTGAGACCGCGATCAGACCAAACAGCCTCGTAGATTCCTCTTGCTGTCTGAAACCCTTTCTCTCTTTGCCCTTCTTGAATCATACAAGCTGCAACAGAGTAAGTAGTCCCAGCCCAAACCTCCTTTGAAACCAATGAGTTCGTGTCCACTTGTCCGTCCGGTGACATTCCGTTCACTGCCCCTCGTGTCCCTCCTTTCACTTTCATCACATTAAACTCATAGATCGTTTCAAGTGCTTTCTTTATCCATTCTTCTTTAGTTATCGGCTTCAATCCACACGCTCTCGCATACCTACAAAAGCTCAAAACCCGCTACTTCATTAGCGGCTGCTACTGAGACCGAGAAACTCAAGAACTTAGTAGTTGAGTCTTACCATTGTCCAGCCAACTGATCAGCAAGAATTGAGGAGCTCGAGCCGCTACCGCTATCGTCATAATTGAAGTAAGAACCATTCCATAGCTTCTCGTAAATGCTTTTCGCCTTTTCATACTTTGCATTGAAGTAAATGGCAACAGCGTTTTCCCCAACAATACTAGCAACTGCAGACGCAGCTTGAAGAGCAGCGACCCAAAGACCGCCGCAATAGGCACTTACCCCTGTAACACTCCAAGCATCGTATGTTTGATCCGGAAACCCTTCGTTTTCGATCATCCCATCCTCGTCCTTATCGAACTGATCTAAGTAAGCAACTGCTGTGTAAACAGACGGCCAAACCGCTTTCGCAAAGCTCTGATCGCCGGTTGCAACCACGTCTCTGTAGACTTGAAGAACAAACTTGGCGTTCAAGTCTTTCCAACGATCCGTGTTAAAGAAGTTATATTCGTTTAGTTCAATCCACGGATCGTTTAGACCTATATCATGAGGAACAGATCCAAGAAGTTTTCTAGGAACCCACTCACCGGAACTCATGATCTGTTTCTTGGTGGGATCTTGAAACAGAACTGTTGCTGCAAAGTCTCTTTGGATGCTGAGTGCGAGCTTAGGAAAGAGACTGAGAAGTGCAAATGAAGAGTAGAAGTGAACGTCGTAAGTGTTGTACATTAGATACTCAATTCCTTCGAGGTAGATGAATTGCCCGATGTTCTCTTCCGCGTTCAAGGACTGAGGAGAATGAATCTGATCACAAATCACATTGATTTTCTTGAAGAGCTCTGTACCAATGTTGTTCTGTTCTGTATTTATAATCTTGTTTCTTTCTATGCATTCCTTGGGAGGCAAGCCATCTATGGATAGTGAAAAAAACAAAAGAGAATTCGATGAAATAGTCAAAATATTTCTCGAGTTGTTTGTTTGTATTACCTGTCCAGATAGTTCCTCCGGAGTTGAAATAGTATAATTCATTGAATAGAGTAACTCGGTACCTGAAATATTCATCGGTTATCGATTGTAGAGTAGAAGAGAAGCTTCAGGATAAAATAGAGTTTACCAGTCAGGAAGTGTAGTGTCTGAAAGAATAGGGCTTTGCCATGCTTCAATTTGAGACTCCCAATCAACATGATCTTGTGTTTTAAGAAAAAGAAACATCATATGAGACTTTTTTGCAAGTAGAACGAAAGAAGAAACCGAAAACAAAAGCCATTTCAGCGTTTACTCAGAAGAGCGTCGCGAGCCATTATCACTGATGCGTCGCCTAACTTGCCATAGAATTTTGTGTATCTTCTGTAAAGTATAAGTATTCACATTAGGTGAACATGAAACTATAAGGTAATTTGAATCAATAAGTCATACCTGTGGTAAGTCTTTTCATTGAACCGCACCTCAGGACAATCCCATGAGAGTGAAAACATGACAGTACGGTCACAACCTGGAGGAACCTTCACATTAGCAGCTATGGCTGCTCCAATGGATGTTCCGGGTCTCGAAGGTGAGCCTGGCTCGGTGGTTAACCTATCAAATGATTTGTTCTGAAAGAGAATTCAAAAACATTCAGAGCTTTCTTTTAATAGATTTTGAAGAACGTTGCGGAAGAACAGAACAAAAAGATATGAAACCTTTTTAATCTCATCCCACATCTCTTTTGCTGTGATATCTTTAGGAGAATGACCAGAAACTAAGAAGCATGAACACTCAGAGACATGAACATCCTCTGTTTCTTGCGCTGCAATGGCGTAAGTAACTGGCGGGTGTCCATTGGCCGTCCTGCAAGTTATCAGCGAGTCTTTTAACAATTTCATTCCATCACATTTCTAATATATAGATACAAAAATCTTCCGGAAACCGGCACTAAACCCCGCTTCAAATGGATTAAAACAGAGGAACTTTCAGTCACGTAAGGCTCAAGTAAAAGAAGTTTACTTGTGATGTAAAGCTATTGCATGTACTCCATCTATTTCCCTGTTGCATCACATCAACAAAAATCAGTTTCTTGTGTCAGAACCAAAGAACATAAGCTATGACTATAGAGATTGAGATGTAGATTCTTACATCATTGTTGAGTTGAAGTGTTCTCCAGTTAACCCTGAAGCTCCTCCCACTGAGTTCTAAGTAAGCACACAGACAAAAATGGTCTTGAAAACTCAAAGATATGAAACAGATAGATATCATTTTATTTGAGATTAGTTTACCTCCCAAGTAAAGAGCAAAGTAACCGTTGCTTCTTCTTTTCCAAGGTTACTCACCTGTGACACATTGGCCAAAAAGGTACATGTGTTATGATATTCGAAGATAGAAAGAATAGTCGTTTTTCTTCTCGGAATATTCTTACCGTAAAGTCGAAAACCGATACCGGAAGACTGCTTTCCTTATAGTTATGAGGTATAAAAGGCGACATTTGACGAGAAACTATTCTGAGTTCAGGGTCAGGCTCTGTTCTCCAAAGTCAAGACATTTTACTATAATCTTTGGCAATCATGAATCTGAAACATCTTGATCTATAATGAACCATGATTAGATCATTTTATACCTTTGTAAACGGTCCAAGACCTCGGATACAGAGCATGATACATAGATTTGTCCCCTTTCATGTTCCAGTCCCATGATTCTATTCCTAAATCCTCTGTTTTACCTCTACATAGATACCATAAGTTATAATAACCAACAAAGTTTGTGTTCAAATGATCCATGGAAAAGCTTACTTTACAGATTTTGGCTTTGTTGGTGATAGAACAGTTGAGTAATTCACACCACCGGGTCTCGAAACAAAAACCTAATCAAGATCAAAACGTAATCAAGAAGTATGCATATTTGTGATTATAAGTGTCAGGACAAGAGAGGCTTACAGAGAACTGGTTTGTGAGAATTGGAGCTTCTTCACAAACTTTAGGGAAGAGCTTAAACTGCTGAAATTCACCTTTGTAACTCCTTCCGATGCTTCCTCCGCTAAAATACGCGTGATTTCGAACTATTAACAACATTTCTAGAGAAGATTAACATGTTGCTCATAGAAAATTGATCTTTTGTGTTTAAGCATACCCAATTCCACCTAATGGGACACCATGGTCGCCTGTTACATGGCGCTTCTTGAAGATATCGTACATCGAAGCCTAATTAAAAATGAAAGTGATTAATGAAGACAAATATTTTTGAGAATAGAAAGCAACTCACTCTTCCTTTTGTTGCTTCTTCTTTAGTGTGACGCCACAATCTATAGCCTATTGGAAACTTCAGAAAAGCCACACACAGAGATAGAAACAAGTTTAATATCCAAACATCAAAATAAAATTGTCTTTTAATTTAATCTTTTTGTCTTTTTTGACTATAAGAAGAATGTACCAGATGAAGAACATCTCTTATACTCATCTTGAACTCAGAAGGGTTCTTCACTTTGCTGTTCAACTTCCTTTGCCACGTTACTTGAGGTAGTCTCTCATTTCCAACCTAATAATTTTCTTAATCAAAATTTGCATAACATGTATGATTATATCCATAATCAAATAATAGTTGTCGTCTTTAATTAGTACCAAATGTTTCATGTTAATTACCAACTTGTGACATGAGACAGGACATAAAAAAATTTGATATATGAAGACAAAAACATTGTTAGTACTACCATTTGAGTTTGAAATTCGGTTTCCATGTGACCGTTCTGCATAATGAATTAATAACTTAAGAATTCAAAAAAGGTGTTTTGATTATGAAGATCATATGTTTTTTTTTGTTGTTGTTGTGGTGAAACAGAGAAAGATAATAGAAGCAAAAAATGAAAATGGGGGCACAGTCCTCCCCTGAGCCAGGAGGCAGAGGCGGTGGCGAGTCGGTGCCACGGCGTGGTGGACTGTGGAGGGTTTATCGATGAATTCAACTGCCACACTGCCTAATCCAGAGTCGTTTGCTCTATTTTATGTTCTTTGGACTCAGAAGTGTAGAATTTAGATACCAAAACAATTCATCTTTAACCCTCTAATGTTCTTCCATAACTCTCTACTCTCCTCACTCCTCGAATTTCATTGGTGAGATAAGACAAGACTATAAAAAATGATTTGGTGGTAAAACCATGGCGATTGAGACCATAAAAAATTGAAGGTACAAAAAAATGATTTGTAGGTACAAATATAAAATTGATTAGTAAAAGATGGTGGTAGAGTAAAGTAAAAACATATTAATTTTTTTTTTAAAGTAGTATACAAAATCAATTATACTACCTATTTCCGCCTATCCACAATCGCAAAATGAATATGGTACAAAAGTGGTGGTATAAAATTTTGTACTGTCAATTCTTATATTTTATATTTTGTATCATCAACTTGTTACTACCTCATTTTACCACAATAGTTACTAGTGAAATAAGTAGCATTATAATTTATATTGCGGTAGTCGTCCTTAAGGGTTTTGGTGGCTACGGAAAAAAAATTGGCTGCTTTTTCCTTAAAAGAAAAAAATGTCCTTCTTATGGATATCGAACATGCGACCAGCAGCACAAATGAGTTTTTACAAAAATCAAGGACCGATTAAATTATATAACTAAAACGGCCATAAACACTAGTTTGGCCGGCTTGTATCTACAGGTCGGCTCTGTACAACTACAATGTTACCAATTTAAGCTCGTTTTATTGTCTATACTAGATAACAACCCGCACGATGTGCGGGATGAAGTGATTCAAGTAAAATTATTATGATTAAAATTATTATCCGGGATCCAAGATCCGTTTGTATAAAATAAAACATGTTACAATTTTTTTGTTATACTACCTATTGCCGCCTATCCACAATCGCAAAATGAATATGGTACAAAAGTGGTGGTATAAAATTTTTTACTGTCAATTCTTATATTTTGAATTTTGTATCATCAACTTGTTACCACCCCATTTTACCACAATAGTTACTAGTGAAATAAGTAGCATTATAATTTATATATATTGCGGTAGTCGTCCTTAAGGTTTTGGTGGCTATGGAAAATGTTTTTGGCTGCTTTTTCCTTAAAAGAAAAAATGGATACCGGACATGCGAGCAGCAGAACAAATGATTTTTTACAAAAAATCACGGACCGATTAAATTATATAACTATAAAACGGCCGTAAACACTAACTTGGCCGCTTGTATCTAAGGCCGGCTCTGTACAACTACAATGTTCCCAATTTTAACAAAAAAAAAACTACAATGTTACCAATTTAATGCAACCTACCCTTGGTGGGTGATTTTAATGTAGTGTCATTAGTATATAGAAATATTCCCAAGACCTCTAATAACCTTCCATTTTATTCGAGATAGACCATATTAGCTTCCACTTTATTCGAGTTAGGCAGATTAATTATACAAGTATTTTTTTTCTTCGTCTTTTGCTTTTTTCTATGTTAAAGAATTTTTTTATCTTATTGCAAAATTATGTTTATGTTAGTATTGGAACGTAGGATCTGAATTTTGAACTCATATGAACCAACAAGAGGTTAATTAAATTAAACTACAAGAAGAAAAAAAAGGTTCAGAGATGACCACGTGAAATATAGTAAAAATTGCAACTGACAGATGTTGACAAAGAAAAAACAAAAGATGACACTGACATATATTTAAAGAGTAAAAAGATAGCAAGATCGTTCACATTCTTCATTACTATTTAGGAAACGAATGGTCGAAAATACTTGATTCTTTAAGTAAAACTAAAAAGATTGACAATTTAAAGATAATTTGTATCCGAACGGTTTAAAAAGAAGTAGTAAAAACAATTTGTTACAAACTGAAGTATGAGTTTCTGTTAGATAGAGACTACAAAATTGCGTGGATAACGATTCACAACCAACCAAACGTATGATTATGGATAATCCCAAATTAAACCAAAGTTTCATGTTCAGAACAATTTGTAACATGAGAGAAAACATTAAAGATTTGATATAGAAAGACAAATATATTACCATTTGAGTTTGGAGTTCACTTTCCGTGTGATCATTCTTCTGCATCTTTACTTACCTAAGGAGATTAAGATTCTCTGGTCATGCAAAGAGTTTATATGATTATATCACATGGAACAAAAAAGATAGATAAACTGTAGATGGAAACAAGAAAAACCAATTGTAAAAGTTTTTTTTTTTTACTTTGAGAAAGCTTGATAAGTATCATGAAAGCAAAATCCAAGAGATAAGATAAAGTTTGAAAATTTTGCATGTGAGGTTGAGATCTAACAATGGTTTTAGAAGAAAAAAGAAGATGATATCAGTTTTTAATAGCTGAAGCAACTCTGTTACTGGATAGCAATAACATGATTTATCATTACAACAATTAAGAAATTACTATAAATGCTGAGCTTTGTGGTGAATTGTGGACAGAAAGAGAAGGGAACAATAATAATAGAGAAGCTTGAAACTGATATTGATGACATAAATCTTGTATATGAACAAGATCATAATAATATTTAAGTAAAGTGGAATTACCAAATGAGTTTGAATTCAGATCAAGATAGCAGAGAGACTGAGATTTTGATATAATGAAGAAAAGCAAGCCTTTTTTTTTATCAAGATCTAGATTTTTTTTTGTGGCAAAATATATAGATGATTGAAGAAATAAGATAAGGTAGGGTACTGTCGTTGCCCGTTGGTTGTTGAGGTTTGGCAAATTGTTAAATCTGAAAAAAAAAATATCCTTTTCTTCCAAATATTAAAACTATATTTTAAAGTCACAAAACATAAACGTGAAATTGGTTTTAAATTACCGTCTTACTAGAAAATAAGAAAAAGTTTCAAAAATATCTTTTTACAGTACATTTTTCAAAAATGTTTTCAAATGTTGTCAATTTTCAATTATATCTCTTTTATAAGGTTTTATAAAAAATTGAAAAAGTTTTATAAAGATTTTAGTAAGTTATAAAAGTTTTATAAAAGATGAATAGGGGGTCCCACCGGAAACCGCCGTATCATTTAAAAAAAAAATATTTTTGGTAAAAAGCATTTTTGAAAAAAAGTATTGTAAAAAAGACATTTCTCAAAAACTCCTAAAAATAAATTACAGCATTCACATCAAATTCTTGAGTTCCTTTAATCTCAGAATCTTAAAATTATAACATCTGAGCTATAATTATAGGACATGCAAAATTTTGAAAAACTTTGCACTCTCCATTCATTCTTTTAAATAAATTTTGAAAAGTTTTACACACTCTTGAGTCATTATTATTAAATTTGTTTTTTAGCTATAAATTTTATTTCAATAAAAATAGGGAAAATGTCAAAAACAAATTCTCAACTTTCAAAAATAGTTGGAAAAAACACCAACTTTTTGATTGTTGAAAAAAATCTCCAATTATTGACTTTGCATTTTAATCACCAATTTTTGTTGACTAAGAAATTAGTCCTACTCTCAAACGACTTAACCAGGTGACTATTTTAGTAAAGTCAACAAAATTTGTGATTGAAAACAAAAATTAATAATATTTTGCTATATATTTCATCAGAGGTTTTTCTAAAACATTTTTCCATTTTTAATTTTTAATCCCAGTAAATAAATTTTCTAACTTTGTCGCTGCCTACGATTAGGATTAGGAGAATAGACCCAATTATAACATGAAGCCGGCTTTGAGATTTAGATCAAATAAGCACAATACAAATAAGAATGATGCAGGCAAGGACTATAAGTATTCCTGGGCGTTCGGTTATCGGTTCGGTTCCATTTGGTTTCGGCTCTTTCGATTATAAAATTTAGTATCTATTCAGGTATTTGAAATTTCGGATATTTTTAGATATTTTTCGGTTATTTTCGAGTATTTTTACTATTTTTATAAAAATTTTAAGTATTTTTGATTATTTGGTCTATAAATAACTAATATTTTTGATAATATAATTGTATTTCGGGTATTTTCGGTTATCCGACTTATTTCGGTTCGATACCGATTCGCTTACGGTTATTTCGGTTATAGAATTTAGTATCCATTCGGTTATTTTCAAATTTTCGGTTCGGTTCGATTCAGTTATTTTTGTTTTGGTTTCGGTTTTTTACATTTGGTTCGGTTTATTTGCCCCTCCATCATTTAAAGTTTTAAACCTCTACACGTTACATTGAATCTTATGGGCCCTAACATAGCCCACAAAAACCTCTACACGTTAAATAGAATCTTATGGGCATGTGAGGACTATAAGCATCATTTAAACCTCTACACGTTCAATCTTATGGGCCTAATATAGCCCATAAAAGATAAGCCCATAACCATATGCCTCCGTCGAGGTGTCACCTTCCTATTGAATTTGACTGAAAAACGCGAAAAATGGAGAAAAGCATATTGTAGAAGAAGAAGAAGAGTGAAGGAACTGAGAAGAAGATCTGTGAAATTATTATATTCGATTTCTAAAATTTCGCAAACCTTAAAAACCTCTCAGCAATGGATTCTTCTTCAAATTTAAATCCTCTTCGTGAAGATACTTCAGAGGATCATCTAGAAGCTCCGGCGTCTGTCTTCGCGTCTCGTCCTCTTCGTCCTCCTTCTACGTAAGTTTCAATCTCATCTCTCAATTCTCCTCCCGATCTCATCTTGAATCGTGTAATTAGAAATGAAATTGGTTTTGTTGTTGTTGTAGGAGTTCGTCGGAGAAGTATTCGCCTGTAGAATGGACAAGCTATTTTGATAAAGAAGATGATATATCAATCACTGGCTCTGACGATGTAACGTTTAACGAATTTGTTCTTAGAATGTTTTGGTTTTGGTTCTCTTTGTTCTCTAATGAAGTGTATTATCATTTTTAGGTGTTTCATGTATATATGGCAGGATCAGAAGGACCTGTTGTCTTTTGTCTTCATGGTGGTGGCTACTCTGGGTTAGTGTTTTTGATTCTTGGCTCTTTAGTTTAATTAGAGAACTCACTTCTTTCATTTTCTTAAAGATTGAATTTTGGTTCAAACTAAGATTTGGTAGTCAGTTTCAGTTTGTATAATGGTTTCATTTGTTATTGTCAGGCTCTCGTTTTCTATAGTGGCAAGTAAAATTAAGGAGAAAGCACGTGTGGTTGCGATGGACTTGAGAGGACACGGTAAATCGGTTTCAGAGAATGAATTGGACTTGTCGCTTGAGGTACAATCACTTAGTTTTGAAAGTCTGGATTAGCTCATTGATTATACATTAGCTGGTCTCTGACAATTGAGAGTGATGTAACATGCAGACTATGAGCAATGATGTTGTGGCTGTGATTAAGGAAATGTATGGAGACTCTCCTCCAGCTATTGTGCTAGTTGGTCACAGGTTTTTTTCTTTCTCTATTTTAGTTTTCATATTGGTATGTTGTTTTTGATCTCTGTCTTAAAGTGTAAACGGATGGTCAATAGTGAGTACATCAATATTTTCCAGTTCGCTTGCGAATATTTTATTACACCTGTACCATATGTAAGAAAGTTTAAGATTTTAGTTGTTTATGATCTACTTGACACAACATTTCGTCTGCGGACCCTATAGTTATGACTTCAATTCTTTAGTATGGAACATTGATAGGCTTTGTTCGGTACAGAGTTGTAGTGATAGACACATGCATAAATTTGTAGAATATTGTATCCAGTTTTCATGTTATTAACATACAGCATGGGAGGTTCGGTCGCTGTACAAGTTGCTGCAAACAAAACATTGCCTAGCTTGGCTGGGCTTGTCGTTGTAGATGTTGTTGAGGTTTGTTTTCTTATAGAAATGTCTCACTTGGTCTGCACTCTCGTGAGATGAACTGACCAAAGTACTTTCATTACAGGGTACTGCTATTGCCTCACTAATTCACATGCAGAAAATTCTTTCAAACAGAATGCAACATTTTCCCAGCATTGAAAAAGCTGTAAGCAACTTTTAAACTCTTGGTTGCAGATACAAACAAGATATCTAGCATTTTTTATGAGCACATCACAGCATTAATATATTGTGTTTTACTTCTGGTCTTTTGGCTGTGTGATCTTTTCTTTTGTTGAATCCTTGTTAATGAAATTTTTGGCCTTTCAGCTTTCAAAAGTCTCCCTCATTGCCTTGATTTCTTTGTATTGAGCTAAAGCTAATCCTTTTTAACCTAAAAGAAAAAATTGATGCCTATAAGCTGCAAACAACTAATGACTTTGTTGTAGTAAGTTGTGTTGGGTCTACCTCTCTAAAGTAATGTATAATCTCTGCAGATTGAATACAGCGTTAGAGGAGGGTCATTAAGGAACATTGATTCTGCTCGTGTCTCCATCCCCCCAACTCTTAAATATTATGATTCAAAGCAGTGGTACGCATCTCTGTTGCTGTTATTATCATTTTGCGGTATTCACATCACATGTTTGCTTCCTAATGAGTGGAAATACGAATCTTTGTCCAGCTACGTTTACCGGACACGTCTTGAAGAAACAGAGCAGTATTGGAAAGGCTGGTATGATCCTCATTACCTCTTATCTTAGTTCAGTAAATCACTGAGTGCCTATTCTCTAACCACAACACAGAAAATCTGTTAGTACTGTATTTGTAAGAACTTCGTCCATATTTGGTCACCATGGGATCTCATAATTAACCTATCACCAATACAAAAATAAGCTAGTTCTTTTAGGTTACTGAGATGGTTGAATAATAAGTGTTGTTGGTTTACAATAGTTGCCGTTATGAATCTGAGTGCAAACATTTACCTCTCTTGAATAGTTTTTGATTCGAACTATGTTAGTTGCCTTGCAGGTATGACGGTCTCTCAGAGAAGTTCTTGTCATCTCCAGTTCCGAAACTCTTGCTATTAGCTGGTACTGACAGGTTGGACAGGTATATTCTTCTTCACCTCTGGCTCAGGTTTCAAGTTAGGTTGAATCGATATCTATAGCGTATTATAATAACGATATTGATGGATTGGATTAGGACCCTCACAATTGGTCAAATGCAAGGAAAGTTTCAGATGATCGTGGTCAAACACACTGGACATGCCATACAGGTAAAAATGCGATTGCCTAATGATTTTTCTATTGATCTTTTTGTGCAATGACGATCTACGTTGAATGCAGGAAGATGTACCAGAGGAGTTTGCGAATCTAGTTCAGAATTTCATATCACGTAACAGAATTGGTCCTCATGGTGTTGAGGTTTGTGTCTGTGTTGTGTATCAGTATTACTCTCTGTTTGCAACTTTAGTCTTGAAAGTTTGATTATATAATCTGTTTTTTTACAGATACCAGGAATGTGGAAACCTTCACAACAACAGCCTAAGACTTGAATCAGCCATCGTGTGGGCTATTCCCTTGTTTTGTTTTGTCAGCTTATGAATAATAAAAACAAACCTTAATGCAAACAAAAAAAATCATTTTTTATATTTAGTTAATTTCGCCATCTCGTACAACTTTTAACAGGCTCGTTAAAATATTATTATGTCTTACTCCTTTGGTTCATAATTAAATTTGATGTTTTTCACACATTTTTTTTTTTGGTGTGTCATAGGGAGGCAATGCCTCCCCGAACTTTATTCCTAAACTGAAAAAATACAACTAAATTCGGACATGCCTTGGAAATGCAGTTCCTCGGACATCATCCTCAACAATCGTCGCCACAGAAGGTGGAACAACCTCTAAAAAATGAAAACCTAAAGGTAATGAAAACGCATAGTTAGCTAACCCGTCGGCAAGACGGTTAGCCTCCCTATACACATGAGAAATTCGGACAATCCAGTCCCTTGAAAGAAAGCCATGGCACAACCGCACCAGGAAAGACAACGGGTTCGTCTCGCTAATCCCCTTTGTCAAAAAACCAACCACCACCGCTGAATCCACCTCTAGCTCCACCCTTCTAATGTTCCTCTCCCAAGCAATGTATAGTCCATAATATACCCCCCATAATTCAGCTAGAGGGGCTGAACATATACCCACATTTAAGGCAAAAAACACTTATTATTCTTTACTGTATTTTTTATTATATATTAAATATTTTTTAATAACTATGAACTAATAGTAATCTATATATATAATGGAAGAGTCATCTCTACATCTAGCCTATCCATCTAAGCAATAATATTTATTTTACATTAAAATAAATTTAAAACATCTATTTAATGCATTTACTTGTAGTTAATAGAAATAATAAATTTTAAATAAATAAAAAACTAATTAGGTAAAATAAATCAGATGTTAAAATAATAAAATAATATTATAAATTTTTTATAAGTAAGACTAATATAATTCAACTTTTAAATAATAAAAATTAAATATGGTCATTATTCAAAATTTTAAATGTGTTAATGAGTTTTAGAATGGAAGTAAATTTATGTAATAAGTGAAACTTTAAACAAAAAAAATAAAATTCAAAGTGAAACGTTAGTTTCGAAGAACAATATACTACATATTTTTATTTATTATTAATTTTTTCTTAAAGAAAAATAAAAGATTACTAACTCAGCTTAAATTTATAATTTAAGACGAAAATATTGTAAGATGCAAACTTTATCTTGTGAAATTATTAAAAACAAATCTTGAAAATTTTAAAACCTTATAATCCATCTTTTAAAAAATAAATAATCAATTATCACATCATTCATGAGTTCTACAACAAAATATATATATATAAAAAAATGAAATGTAAGCCGTTAAAAAAAAGTGATATGTAATTTAAGCCGTTAAAAAAAAGTGATATGTAATTTGTGTAGCATATTTTCAAGTGGAACTACAACTTTATAACATGATCAAAAAGAAAAATAAGTTTGATATTTCATCAATGAAATATTGAAAAAATAGCTATGATATGTCTTGAAAATCATATGATATTTTATTATTCATGAGTTTTGAAAATAGCTATGATATTTCATTATTCATGAGTTCTACAACTATATATATATATATATATATATAAATGAAATGTAAGCCGTTAAAAAAAAGTGATATGTAATTTGTGTAGCATATTCTCAAGTGGAACTACAACTTTATAACATGATCAAAAAGAAAACTAACTTTGATATTTCATCAATGAAATATTGAAAAAATAGCTATGATATGTCTTGAAAATCAATTCACAGTCCAATATATATTATGTGTGAGTCAATAGAAGATGAAAAGAAAGTAGATGTCGAGAGGCAACGATTGCATCATAGAAGATGACGAAAGAACTGGTAGTTAAAAGAGTTTGAAAATAAATTTCTAAAACTTAGAAAGATAATGCACATGAGTAAGGTAAAATCTTTGAGATTTCATTCATTGTGTGAAACGAATGAGTTCTTAGAAAATACATAACATACATTATTAATCAAATTATTAGATTCAAAGTTGGGTTTAACCGTTTGGCCATGTAATCATGGAAAGTAAGATAAGATAGGCAGATTGATGACTTAGTCGAGAATTCTCTTACTGTTGCACTAGCTTTGATGGGTAAATCAAGCTCGCTAAACTTGTTCTAGCAACATGATATTATAGATGTACTTTTACACTAAATAATGTTCATGAAACTCGGTATATTCGTATTTTATATGGAATGATGTGATATTCGTATCAAAATTTAATCATAAATAATATCTACAATTAGGTCAACAATCGATAATTAATGTCAAAACTTTTAAGAAATGCTTTCATCGAATATGAATAAGAAATAAACTCTTTTAGAGTGTTGATACCGTTTATTCTTCCCGCGAATTTTTTAAGTGATAATCTTTGTTACCACGTGATATATATCAAATTATTTATTTGTCAAGGAAACATTAGCGTCTATAATATATATGTTATATATCGCTTCGTAAAATAAGTTTAGTGTTTATATAGATTTACCTTTTAAAATTTGAATTATTATATATATGCTCAAAAAATTATCTTTTAAATTTTAATGATTATATTTTATGCTCAAAATTTATATTAATAGAAGAAATTTTAAATTATAATCTGTACCCGCGCGTTAGTCTAATAAGTTTATTCATTGCGTATTGAACTTTATGATTTCTAATCTATATAATAATAACGGTACGAATAAATGTTTTTTTGCAGTTTGAACAATTGTGTTTTTTTTATCGCAACCTTTGGATAATTTTTTTTTTTAACAAAAAAATTATTTTACAATTGTTTTTAATAGAAAATTGCTATTCGAATAAATGTCTTCTACGGTTATGTCTTTTTATCCTAATCTTTCATAAACGGTTGATACTGTTTAACTGAACCATTACAATATTTAGTTTATTTCATGAACAATTATAACTTTTGGTTTATTTTAGAAATCATTCTAACCTTTATTTTTATTTTTAAATCTAAATATATATTCTATGGTTGTGTTTTTTTAGAATAGTTATAACCCGAATAAATGTCTTCTATGGCTGTGTCATTTAGTTGAACCATTGCAACTTTTAGTTTATTTCATGAACAACTGCAACTTTGATTTATTTTATAAATAGTTATAACGGTTATTTACTTTTTAAACTTTCACGGTTGTGTTTTCTTAAAAAGTTGCAATCCGAAAAAATGTACTATGGTGAGACTTTCTTCCTGTCCAAGTAACAGCTGAAACTGGTCAAATCTAAAACCTAGAAAACAGATCCGAGAAGGCTTCTTGAGAAAGACTTTTTGAGATCTAAACGTACTTCGATCTGGCTGAAATTTGGTGGAGAACTTCGTGGTACTGTAGGCTTTATAATCAACGGTTGGATCGAAAAGTTAACGGTTGCCTCTGGAGTTATTGGTGCGTCTTTAAGGCAGCTAGAGCAAGTATTCTACTTCATCAGGTGATCAAGGTGAGGGTGATATTTTCGGATATGCCGTAACTTCTTTCCTTTCATACTCTTCGATAGTTGCTGAGTATAGGCTCGAGAATTGTCTTTGTTTTATTTGTTATTATTCATGAAGTTAGGTTGTTAGTAATTTGATATGTTTGAGTGCATAATGATTGATGACATGTGATACTATGTGAATAGACATGATAAGATAATTTATGTATATCATAAAAATTTGCATGAGGAAGAAAATGAAAAATGATTGTGTGGGAGTAGTTGTGCCACAAGAGCCTTACTCTAAGGTTGTGAATCTCTAAGGTTGTGAATGGTGAGTGGAATTTAGGGTGGATCAACCGCAGTGTGGGTGAACTGTGGTTTTGTCACCATTCATCTAATAAAAGATGGTACAAAAAGACAGTCCAATTAAATAATAAAAAAAGAAAACCCATACTTACTGAATAAGCGGTCCAGATTTTGTGAAGAAAGAAGATTGAAATGCCTTGAACAGTAAAACTACCTATGGTGTGGAGTGTTTGCTGTGCTTTTATGTTTTTTTATTAATAAAAAAATGAAATGATAATCAGCAACAAAAAAAAAACGTGATATACCAACCTTCTTTTTTTACCTACTTAAGTGTTCTAATATATAAATAAATCCTCATAAGGTATGTACTTGAAGAACAAACAATAAAAAAAACAAAAGGGCACTATTTTTTTCTCCTCTACATTAGCTTGGAGCTCATGTTTTTTTTTCATCCCTAACTTTTTTTTTTGCAAATTATGAAGATGAAGAAGATATTACAAAATAAAAAAATAAATACAATAAAAACAAAAGGATAAAGATATAGATCATAGTTAGAAAATAAAAATTAAGACCTGTTATGATTAATTTTAGAAATGATATATTTACAAAAAATTAGTTTTCAAATATTAAAAAGTAGAGTTTTGAAAATATTTAAAATTTTGGTGAGATTTTACAAATTTCCTCTAATCTACAATACTGATTTGAAAATAGCTTAAAAGTGATATAACTTTATAAAAAGTTATGGCTAATAACATATAACTACTGAAACCGCTTTTCTATTATTTCACCATTCAACATAGATTTTGAACTGCTTGATCCGCACTTTTTCTACTTGATCCGCCTAATACGCTTGATCCACAGTTGATCTTCATGAACCGCATGATCTGCCTGATCCGTACCGCTTGATCCGCTTGCACCATTCGAAACCTAAGTGTGGGAGTAGTTGTGCCTGAGGGCCTTGTTCTGAGTGTGGGAGTAGTTGCGCCATAAGGGCCTTGCTCTAAGTGTGAGATTTGAGATGTATAATTACATGACAAGAGGATGAATTTGATTGTGAAGTTTAGGACAAGATAAGTGAAAATTTAATATTATTGATTGCTATGAATGTTTTGAATTGTGACGTTCTGATTCTATACTAAGTAATGGTTGTTGTTTATGTTTTGATAGTCTTTACTGTTTGTCCGGTGGACAGAGTTGGAGTGATTGTGCCATGAGGGCCTTCCTCTAAGTGTGGGAGTAGTTATGCCATGAGGGCCTTGCTCTGAGTGTGGGAGTAGTTGTGCCATAAAGGCCTTGCTCTGAGTGTGAGATT